AAATCTATATGCTATCTTCCATCTGTCCGTTATCTCTTTGTTGCCTGCGTGCGATTTATTATATGTCCGATGCTTGTATGTTGCTTGTGTGCGATCTAATCTGTCCGATGTCTGCGATTTCTCTGCGATCCGTTACTTGTCTGTTGCTTGCGTGCGTTCTGTTTGGTGTTTGCAATCTGTCATTTTTTGTTCCGGTGGAGAGCCTCTCGCTTTCAGCTCCGGTGGAGAGCCACCGGTGAAGAGTCATCTCGTTTTCAACTCAGATGAAGAGTCATGTCGTTTTCGGCTCCGGTGGAGAGTCATCTTGATTTCGGCTCCAGTGGAGAGTCATCTCATTTTCGAATCCGGTGGAGAGTCATGTCGTTTTCGGCTCCATTGAGAGTCATGTCGTTTTGCGGCTCCAGTGGAGAGTCAACTGTTATTTTTATTTGCATTTTTTTGCGTCTAAATTTAACTTTTTTATCAAACTCAAATTGGTTTCTATTATACCACTTGAGTTTGAGGGGGGGGGAGTGTTGAGATATTTTAGTTATTCGATTTAGTAGATTTATATTTAGATTTTGTCTTATTCATATATTAAATTATTTATATTTGAGTTTATCGAGTCCGTTTTGTATTGCTTATATATAGGCCGTGATCAATAAGACAATCTTATATTTTTCCCCCAAAATTTTTAACATGATTAATCTTTGTTTTCTTCTTACATATTAAAAAAAATAAAAATAATAAAAGTCATGTGTAGAGTTTAGGGTTTAAATAATGCAACATGAATAATTATATTTTACAGTACTATTTAACTCATTAATTTATAACACTCATCGGACACAATTTTGAAAAAATATCAAATATTTCATTTCAAGTAATTCAGTATTAATTCAACATTTTTATTTGTTGAATTCTCTCGAAACTAAAACTCCAATAGATAATTACTTCAATTATTTTTTTTCAATGTAGACAATAAACAATATCATGGGCTTCGTAGAATAAAAATTAATTACAAAAAATTTAGTATATCATCCAATAGCCTTGCATAGCATCGAATTGATAGCTAGGATATACACATACATTTTACAATGAAAATATAGCAATGAAGAAAAGTACAAATATTAAAATTCATTATAGTTACATCAAAGCTAACTGTGTCACATCAACTACTTCATGCTACTTTATTTAAATTTTAATATAAAGATATATAAAATAAAATAAAATAAAAAAATCAACCACTTCTATGATTCTTAACAACCCGATGGCGGCCATTACGAATCGGGTGGACACTATAAATTAGATATAAATTTATAATATATATATAAAATAAAAATGACATTATATGTAATATTCGTCCCCACTTTTGAAATTTTACATTTAATTTTTGCGTTCACTGTATTTAACATTAAAAATATTTTGTATTTCTATAGATTTTTATACAAATATAATTTTGTATTTTTGTCTTGTTCACTTTATTTGTACTATATTTTAATATTATAATTAATATTCAAATATCAATACGCAAAACGTAAATTTAAACCTTTAAAGTTTTTTTTTTTATAAAATATACATTGTCTGTTATTAATTAGAAGGGCAAACGTCAATTCAAAAGATCTTAGTAACACTTTATTAAAATATTTAATGGAAAAAAAAAAAAAAAAGCCAAAGTGTGTTTGTTTGGCATCTAAAATGGTGTTTTAGGTTTTGGAGAGATTTTTTAATAAGATAAAAGAGTTGTTGTTTGGATAACAATTAATATATATATACATATATAATGTAATATAGTTAATTTAATGCATGCCCTGATGATGTTTACATAGTAAAAATATAGCTAAATAAAAATAGCCAATATAAATATATTTTATATTAAATAAAATTTTATGAAATTCATATAAACACATGCCCTCATGCAATTACCGTATAAAAGTTTTATACAAAATCGAAGTTTTAAATGTATATAAATTATTTATATAATTAAGAGAAATATAGACATATAATTAGATTTTTAGTGAATCTTATTATAGAAAATTATGAATATTGTTTTAATATATGTTTGCTTGTACAGTGCCACTTTGAAATGTCAACAAACACAACTAAAGTTTGTATATAAATGATTCAGAAATATTGAGTTTGTTCTCGTAGTATTTTGAGTAGCATGATTTCCTATAAATATTATTAATAAAATATAATATATATATTATTTATAATACTATATATATTATTCATTCAAAAAAATTAAAAAATAAATTCAAAATTTTATTTTTATACTATCAGTAAAATTTCTCATATCTAACATGAAGTGAACAAACTCTTTTAGTGCAATTTTATCTTAATTACTATTGCTAACAAACAGTCGCTCTGTTATTTCAATTTTATTTTTCAATTGCGATCTTTAAAAAAATAATATAAAATATAAAATATTTTATACAAAAAAGTTAAAGTAAAAAAAAAACTTTAAATACTCATTATAAAAAATTTAAAAGTAATTACAAAAGGTAAAAAAAAAATTAAAAATATTCAATCTAAAATAATACTTCCTTCATCCCACATAATTTGTTCCTATTTTTTATTTTCGTCCGTCCCACATAATATGTCCTTTCCGTTTTTGAAAAAATAATTATACAATTTAATCATATTTTAAGTATCATAATTTATAATTTTCTTAATCTTAATTAAATTATTTAGTTATCTTAATCTTAATCTATAATTATTTTTATCAAATAATAATTATTATTTTTACTGATACACTTCTTAAATTACTTATTAATCATATTTTACCTAAATTCATGTATTTATGGTAACGCGCCCAAAATATATGGGACGGAGAGAGTATATTTTATATTTTTTTTTACAATTTCACATCCTACGCATTAAAAATTATTTCACCTAAAAAAATGTTGGATGAACAGAGTCATTGTTTTGTCATTATATTTAAATGTAATTTAAACTAAAGTCATTGTAAATTGACTTTTAAAACCTTTTTCTTTTATGAGAGTGAGAACTTATAGCCATATTAAATAGTATACTAAAGAGAAATGATTGTTACATCGGTAAGTTTTTAAAAATTAATGACATAAGAAGTATACATACTAAATAAGATAAATAATTATGCTAAACAAGCTTAGCGTTTTTTACATACTAAGAAGGCATTATAAAGATTTTAAATTTATTCCCAAAGTTTACGTGCTACATGAACTCGACCATCCCTTATTGGACAATAGTTATGCTATTTTTTATATACTATATATATATATATATATTTTTACTATTGATCTTACCATGTGATTGGTATGGAATATATGTTGTTATCATGTTGATTTTTTTTTGTTTTTTTTTTGTTTTGTTTTGTTTTGACATGAACTATCATACTTAGAATTTATATTCTATATTTCATATATCGGGAATGATTACAGCGTTAATTTAGAAAAATCAGCACCGTATATATCTCTTTATTACAAAAAATATATAATTTGTAATAAAAAACATGTATTATTTGTTCATAATTACATCGTGTGTTGTATAAAGAAATCTATTATTTGTATTATATTGATATAAATGATGTGTTGTTTATTAATACATTACATGTTGTTCAAATTTTAATTCAACAATGTAGTCGTCGCCTTCGTATATCCTTTTATACAAAATATTCTCTAAAAATACATTTCCTCGGATCCGGTTATTTATTTATTTTATTTTTATATATTGGTGATTCAAATGTTAATTTAACAGCCCCAGTTTTTATCATACTAACCCACAGGCGTGTATTTGTATGTGTTCATAAACAACTACATACCTAATAAAGCATAAAAGCTGAAGGAATAAAATCTATGATGCAAGCATTCCGATTTTTCATCTTCTTATGTTTGTGTTCGAAATTAATTGAATTTCGCATAGTTGATTTACAGAAACAAAAGTAAATTTGCGACACCAATTTGGAAGGAATTTAACATCCTTGTAATTTGTGACGGAAATAGCAACGGATACAAGGACTACGGGTCAAATTTTAATACATTTCCGGTGCCGAAAACATCAATGGTTACTTGAAAATACTGAAGAGTATGAGTATCTGTCACAAATTTACAATAGAATTTGAAAGAAAATCAATTTTCCTAGTAATTTGCAAGAGAACTTAATTCACTCGCAACAGAAATATACATGGCCGTGTAAAGTTAAATATGACTGTGTATAATCACTACAAAAAAATAGTATATTTGTAACGGAATTCCGTCCCTAAAGATCACGTAGCTAACGTAATTTCATCATTAATTCCGTCTCTAATATCATTTAGTAATGAAAAAAAGTAGATTTAAAGAAAAAAATATCGTTACAAAAATGATATTTTCTTATAATGAATTGTACATGACCCGTCTTGTTTCTAGGTCGGTTGTCTCGTCAACGTCAGCAATTTTCATTACTTTTTTAATGGTGGGATCAAAATTGATTGAAATTGTTTATAATGGAATAAAATAGATGAATTTTTTATACTGTGACCAAAATTGATAAATTTTGATTATATTGTGACCAAATAAATACAAAATATAAATATATTTTTTAAAAATTAACATAAATTATGTTACAAATAAATGAATTTTTTTGAATATATATATATATATGAATTTATTGAAGAGGTAATAATAATAATAATAAATATTGAATAGATATGATGAAATATTTAAAAAAATAAAATAAAAACTATGAAAATAGTACCAACGAGTTGAGAAACTTGCTTCCTTTTTTCTTTTTTTTTTTTTAATTTTTAAAAAAATAATCTTTGATTGTTGATCAACAAATTATCTTTTGTTTGGCTATTTCAATTTGTGGTTCCACATCAATATTTTCTAAAGTATCTCTCCCAGATCACAAAGTAAAGCTTCAAACATTATCATTCAATCTTCAATTTCATGTTTAAGGAATCACGATTAATAAAATTACATGGCCGGAGCAATCATCAAAGTCAACCATATATATGAGATTAATAATTCGAAAAAACAACTGTTCCCCCAACAAAACCTTAACTGCCCCAACATTGATTATATATAAACATGGTCTTGATCACATGCCACAGCATACAGAATCAGCAAAAAAGTTTCGATTCTTCTCTAAAAATGGCTTTCATCAAGCCTGTTTTTGCAGTTCTTTTATCCCTTTCTTGCATTATCAGCTTATCTAATGCTCAAGGGCTGACCCTTGATTATTACAAGAAGACATGTCCGAATGTCGAGGACATCGTTAAACGGGAGACAGCCCGTATAATGGCTGCTGCGCCGACTCTGGCTGCTCCTCTACTCAGACTTCACTTCCATGACTGTTTTGTTAGGGTATAAATCTTTTATTACATTTTGCAATGTCATTTCAACATATATCTTGTCTGTTCTTTTTTCTTTTATATATATACACACGGCTGTAGATCCTGTACTGATCCGGCGAAGTTAGCATAGTTTTGATTTGATCGGTCAACATATGCCATACGCATGACCAACATAGACTTATTTATACATATTCAGAATATGATGTTTTATAATATAGCATATGTTGAGTTATCATATGTTATGACTTAGGGTTATCGAAGAGAGAATTTATTCGAATCAATGAAAATAGAATATCACAGAGGAATTCGCTCTGTAATCAAAACCAAAATAATGACCGTCTAACCTAACATGACCTAGATGCACAACAATTAAACAGTAAATAAAATAATAAGAAATAAAATAATAATTATCCTAAATTAGTACGGTGCTTCTCCATCTTCTAATATAGACTTTGACTTTACCCAACTCCATAACATAATATAATATATGTTACTGAAATATGTATAAATATATGCTGATCAGCTTAACCGCTGATCCATACCCTTTGTACATTGTTGGTGTAATAATTTAGGCATTTTGTATGTGCAGGGGTGTGATGGTTCTGTGCTAATTAATTCAACGACGAACAATCGAGCTGAGAGGGATTCACCTCCCAATCTAACACTTCGAGGGTTTGGATCGATTGATAGAGTGAAATCTGCAGTCGAAAAGGAGTGCCCCGCCACCGTGTCTTGCGCTGACATCTTAGCTTTGGTTGCGCGCGATGCGGTTTCAATTGTAAGTCATACAAATAGATGTAAAAATTGTTTAAGGCCTTCTTTGCATGTTTAAAATTATACAAGTAGAAACTATATCTCAGTTTTCTTTAATTTTTAAATTTTATTTAATACCTAATTATCATATTCCCCTAATAATACAATATTTATTTTACAAAATATTACGTCAAATTACTATTTAAACATAAAATACAAATACTAACGGTACACACCTTAGATTTTTTTTATACAATCTTAGAAAAATAAAGAATTAAAGAAACTAATCGAATGGATAGTAACACTCTTAATTTCTGCGAAAATCTATAATAAATACATTTTATTTAGTTTGCCGTATGATTATCATATAAATTTGTTATAGTAGATTGTTTTGAATTTTCTTGGTGATTTTTACAGCTAAATGGACCTTTCTGGCCTGTGCCACTGGGAAGAAGAGATGGGAGAGTGTCGAATGCATCGGAAGCATTGGCAAACATTCCGGCGCCAACTTTCAACATTACTCGACTCAAAACATCGTTCGCATCAAAGGGATTGAACACAAAGGATCTTGTCGTTCTATCAGGTAATCTGATTGCATGTTATTGCTCATGACTTGTTCAAATTTTAACTTTCAACTTTTAATCTTAACAATTGCTACGTATGGATTTTTTATTATGAATTTGCAATGCTATACATTATTAAATGTAAAGCATCAAAAGTTTCTACGATTGCATTGTACATAGAAATAATAATAATAATAATAATAATAATAATAATAATAATAATAATAATAATAATAATAATTTTTTCACTAACCCTTTTTTCATGGTGAAAATTAAAGCAAATATTTTTTATCCAGTGCGCACTTTCGGATAGCGATCGTACATTCCCACCTTATTAATCTTTTCTTTTTCTCTACATGTCTCCGATTAAAAAAAAAAAAAAAAAAAAAAAACCCATACATGTGGTAGGTTAAATTTATGCGTCACATATATATATATATGTATATTTTGTAATTTTATTATTGTTTTATGCTTTGATTTTTTTGAGATAAAAATATTTATTCAAAGTGATATGTTTTATATAGAAAATTAATTATTTGATAATAGTAAAGAAATAAGAATGCATGTACAAAAGAACACTCTAAAATTACATGTGCATAAATTAATAAAGATGTTTATTTTATTTATACATTTACTATCTCTTAACAACAAGTTCATACAAACTAGACATTACCAAACATGTTTTGAAAAGTAGCTAATTTATTAATCATGTACACAGGGAGCCATACCATTGGAACTTCCCACTGCTCGAGCTTCTCGAACCGTCTCTACAACTTCACGGGCAGAGGCGACAGCGATCCATCGCTCGATCCAAACTACGCGTCGCGGCTGAGAAGCAAGTGCCGGCGAGGTGACACCACAACCCTAGCTGAAATGGATCCCGGGAGCTTCAAGACATTCGATCAGGGTTATTACACCAACGTAGCCAAAAGAAGGGGCCTCTTTACATCGGATTCATCTCTTCTTGCCGACACCGAGACCCGGACTTATGTTAGGAGCCACGTGTTCTCTCAAGGGTTGTCGACATTTTTGCAGGACTTTGCGGATTCGATGGTGAAGATGGGGAAGATTGAGGTCCTTACGGGAAGTCAGGGTGAGATAAGGAAGAGATGTGGTTTTATTAATTGAGATTATTTCTGTTTGGTTTTTAAAAATTTTTACTTGAATTAAGTGTGTTGTTAGCAATAAAGTCGAATATTATGTCTACTCGACTTATTCATTTTGTAATATTTTTACTTTGAGTGTGGGATTATGAATAAATTTTAATATTAATTCTTCTTTATGTAATGTTTATTTAAATTGAATGGGTATTTGCAATAAAGATGGGCATAAAATATATATTCTGAAGCGATTAGGTGCATGACAAGGAAGATAAACATCACTAAACAAAATTGGCCTGTGGACAACGACAAATCGGGGACGGTGGGACTTGAATTCGGGACCTAAGCCTTTGATACCATGTTAAATAACATAAGAGCATTGGTTACAATTATCTTCTTCATTACCTATCTTATTACCTTGTCAGTTTTTATTATAACAACATGTGTTACCTCTATTAGGAAATACAGTTAATACCAATTTATTACATTTATCAAGAATTGTTACCTCTATAAAAATAATAAATAATTAATTGTTTAATTAATTATAACTTAAAATCTAAATTTTAAAATTTTAAATTATCAATATTTATCCATACAAATAGAAATTCAAATTTATTTCAAAAGATCACGACTCACCTATGTATTTTTTAATAAATTTTTTTATATATCCAATTTTAACATATAAATTTTTTAAAATTTTTATATTCAATTTTTTTTCAACTAATTCTTTATCAAAATTATCGGAAACGAAATATTATTTAGGCAATATATTAATCCAAATTTATTTTAATCATTCAAATTTTTCAATGTCACTAATTTTATAAATTTGAATCATTTTAATTTTTCATAATATAAAAATTTATATAATATTATTATAGTTTATATAAATTAATATTTTAAAAAATAAAATATAATATTACATAATAAATATTATTTATATATTATTAGATAATAAAAATATATAAAATGTAAATAATTATGATGAATTTCATATAATTATAAATGTAATAGGTAAAAATAATGATACTATAACCGGTGTTAAAAGAAGCCATTTCAATATTGACGTGGATATGAGGTGAATAAGAGATATAAAAAAGGTAATGCAGTAGAGATACTCACTGTAACGTATACTCTAAATTACTGCCTCACTTAAAAGTTTACACTAATAGGGATACGCATCTATTAGTACGCATCTATTAGTACGCATCGTTTATTTATTTTTCTAGAAACATTCACCGACAATCCCAAAAAAAATATATTTTGGTTATAGTAAGAAATTTGGGAATGCTCAATATATAAGGCTTTATCAACATTTTGGGCTCAAATATGGGTACAAAAGAATCCATACCAAGGCCTTCCCCTATATATGGCTGAACTGAATCAATCAGATACTTACCTAACCAGGCTAGGAAGATCCTCCAAAAAAATTTATCACCCAAAAGGGTGTAGAGACATGGGAGGATAGGTATTCAACCTTATCGGCAGCTTGAAATTTTGAGAATAAAAATATTTGTTAAAAATATATAAAATATATTTTCTCCGTCCTTTTATAAGAGTCACAATTATCTTCTACGTTATTGTGCTTAATATTAATAATATCTTTATATTTGTATAATATTTGTACAAATATTTTTCTATTAGTATTACAAGACATTAATGGATATATTTCTGTTATTTTTTTTAAATTTGTAATACGTTTTGATATAATAATAAATATTCAAATATCAACATGCAAAAAGTAAATGACATCTTTAGAGTGTGACGGGGATAATATATGATTTTATAAAATATAAAATTTAATATAATATAAATAAATAAAAATTTTATATGTTTTTTTGTCTGTCAAATTTATTCTTCTTTCACTTAAATTTAGTCTATCATTAACTTTGATAAAGTCAAATTTTCAATGTAACTATTATTCACCATTTATTATATATTAATACAATTTCTACTGTTTTACATTCTCTTTATCAGACTTAATTATTAATGATTTTGAGTTGGTTTATTTGGCATCGGTTGGAATCTTGCGTCATTTTTTGGCATTAGCGTTGCTTTATATATATATTTTAAAATTTTTAATTTAAACTTTTAAATTTATTTTTTATTTTTCTAAATTTTTAAAAAAATTATTTTAAATTATAAAAATAAAAATTTGTTTAAAATAATAGGAAAAATTGAATATTTGAAGAATAATAGTGAAAAATTGAGTTATAGTTGTAAAAATTGAATATTTGTTTATAATTACCGTAGCAACTGCATATTTAGAATTAAAACTGGATAAATGGAATCGATGAGTTAGAGATGGCTTAACTAATATTAAAAGATATATGCAATTATTTTTTTTACTTCTATTATATTTTTAATATAATATTTATTTTTTTTAATCTTCGTATCATATTCAAATAAGCTATTTTTACTTGAAGAAAAGAAAATATACTTATTTATAATTAACATAAATTAATTTTATAAAACAAATAAAAAATTAAATATATAAATATATATCTAATAGATATATAAATAAGATATTTTAACTGGGTCTTGGATAATGTAATGTATTCAAGTTAATTTATATTTCTTAAAAATTGATAAATTTTATTACAAAAATGAATATGTCAACGGCTACAAACATATTAAGATAGAAAAACATGCGGAGAGTATTTAATTGCATTAACACAACTAATATTATTTATTCTTTCGTTTAAACAAATTAAATTAATTTATACTTCTATGTCCCAATTCAAAATACACCATCCCCTCTCATTGGAAAAGTGATATTTACTTTTTGCACGTAGATTTTTGAATATTAGTATTATATTGAATTATAGTGAAAAAGACAAAAATACCCTTATTAGTATGGTGTAATATAAAAGTAATGACATTTGTGTAATATATTGTAAGTTGAAAGCGTATTTATTATGTTAGGTGGGTAGTACAGTTACTAAATTAAGAAATGATAACCTTTTTTTTTGGGACGGACGAAAATAGAAAATTGTAACATTTCAATGTGACAGAGAGAGTAATTTTTTTATCATTTTTGTCGATCTCACTCAAAAATATCACTTTCCTATATTAAAAAAAATAATAAGTATACATTATAAACATACAATTACTTTATAGATAAAATTAAAATGACAAAAATATGAAAAAATTTACATTTTTTAATTTATTAGAAAACTTCAAAATGCGCATTTCAATTGGGATGAAGTGAGTAATATGTATATACTAATATGGTGGCGGTTATCAGGACGAACTGATAGCCCAACAATATATACTCCCTCCGTTCCATATAATTTGTTCCTATTTTTTATTTTCGTCCGCTCCACATAACTTGTCTCTATTTTTTATTTTCGTCCGTCCCGCATAATTTGTCCTTATTTTATATTTTCGTTCGTCCCACATAACTTGTTCTTTCATTTTTTAAAAATATAAGTATACACTTTAATTATATTTTAAACTTTATATTTTATAATTTTTTTAATCTAAATTAAATTATTTAGTTATCTTAATCTTAATCTATAATTATTTTTACTAATACACTTCTTACTTACTTACTAATCATATTTTACCTAAATTCTCGTGTATAGGGTAGCACGCCCAAATTAACTATGACAGAGGGAGTAATAAACAATATACTACTCCTACCGTCCCGTGGAATTAGTCCACGTTTTTTTTATACGCAGTTTAAGAAATGTTGTGTTACATAATTAATTGGTTTGATTAGTTGATGTAATAAGTTTATTTTTATTTGAAAAAATATTAAATTAAAAGTTTAAATATTTTTTATTTAATTTTTAAGCATTGAAATTTTTATATACTAAAATTATTTAAAAATAATAATAATAATTGTATCTATTGTAATCAATACATGCAATTAGATAAAAAAAAATTAATTTAAATAATTTAGATGTAATTAATACAATAAAAAACGTAATAATAAAAATTTTAAATAAAAATACTTAAAAATTTTTCGAAATTGATTGTTGTTAAAAATAGTTCATTATGACACATCAAATCTAATGCCACATTATATACGGTATCAAAAATTTTGGTATGATATTTTACCGAACCAATGCCATACAAATATTTTGACATACCGAATTCACTAATAAAAAAATTGAATCACGGAAATAACATGCATACTCATACAAAAAAAAAATATCGAAAAAAATTTAAATTTTCAGTACGATATGCTTTTTTTATATAATAATGATATACATGATATTGTCAATATATATGGGTGCTAAAAAAAAAATCTATATTTTTATATATACTGAATATACAATAGAGTATCAATATGTTTTTTAATGAATTAAAAAATTTAGTACGGTTTACAATATAATTCGATATTTTCCATATACTTTCTTAAACTATCTCTAATTGAATTATATAGACGGTACTAGCATATAATATGTTATGTTGAAATACCAAAATTAAAAATAATTTTATAATTTTGCATGATAAATAAGGTTTTTTTTTAGTTTTTCGAATAAAGAAAAAAAATTCAAAATCAAATATTCTCTCTGTCCCATTGAAAGGTTGTCATTTTCCACTTTCGTCCGTCCCAAAACAAGGTTATTATTTCCTAATTTAGTAATTGTATTACTTACTTAACATAATAAATATCCTTCCAACTTACACTATATTACACAAATGTCATTATTTTTATATAACACAATACTAATAGGGGTATTTCTTTCTTTTTCACTGTAACTCATTATAATACTAATATTCAAAAATCTACATGCAAAAAGTAAACGGCAACCTTGCACTGGGACGGAGAGAGTATATTTTTAGTTAATTTTCCGACCATACATTTTCAAATCAAACATCATTTGTTTTCTGTATTACACTAAAGCATTAATTTAAGAAATTTAAAATTTTTTATGAATACTTATTTATATCATATTAAAATATTTATTTTATTTTTATTATTCAAAATTTTAGTTGAATTTCTTAATTTACCACTAAACAAACAGTAAAACTAAATATATTAGTAAGTTAATAGAATATAGTTAAGTTTTTTAATTATAAGTATTAGTTATTAATTATTATTATAATAAAAAAATGGACTAATCTGGTGAGATGACTTAAAAAAAGAAAAAATAGACTAATTTGGTGAGATGACTAAAAAAAATGGACTAAGGGAATATATATAAATCTGTAAGTTAATAGAATATGGTTAAGTTTTTTAATTATAAGTATCAGTTATTAATTATTACTATAATAAAAAAATGGACTAATATGGTGAGATGATTAAAAAAAGAAAAAATAGACTAATTTGGTAAGATGACTAAAAAAAAAAAGAAAAAAAAAAGGGACTAATATGGTAGGACGGATGGAATATATATAAATCTGCAATATATATGTAGAAGAGGTTGCTCAACCAGATGAGCAACAAATTTTCACATAGATGAAGCTATTGCAATATATATATATACGGTGAAACGTGATTTCGATTTAGTGTTCTTCTCGATCCGGAACCAAAGCGAAAAAGTTATTCAATTGTCAGAATTTCTTTGGATCTATCCTAATTAATAACAAATGAGCTTAGGGTGCTATAAATAGATAGCCATGGTTCATAACCGTAGGAAAATGATTGTAACTCTCTGAATTAGTATAATAAAATCTCTCCGGTTTCTGCCCGTGGACGTAGGTTGAGACACCATCACCGACCCACGTAAAACCTCTGTATTCTTTATTTGCTTTGTTTCTCGTTTTCTCATAACAAGTGGTATCAGAGCTATATCTGATTGATTGAAGATGTCTTCATATAAGTTTGATCTGGAGAAGTTTAATGGGTCGAATGACTTCATGCTCTGGAAGGTCAAGATGAGGACACTTCTGGTTCAACAGAGATGTGCGGCTGCGTTGGAGAGAGAAGACAAGTTTCCTAAAGACATGAAGAAAAAGGTGAATAGAGAGATTTTGGCAATGGCTCATTCTGCGATCTTGCTGTCAGTTACTGATGAGGTGTTATGGAAGGTTGTAAATAAAACGATGGCTTATAGGCTATGAGATAAACTGTGTGAGAAGTACCAGAACAACTCTCTCACGAACATGTTATATCAGAAGCAACGACTTTACATCCTCCGGATGTCCGAAAGTACTCAAGTAAATGATCATTTTGATACCTTTAACCGTATTATTCTAGATCTTCAAGGAGTTGAGGTTAAAATAGATGATGAAGATCAAACCCTAATTTTACTGTGTTCACTACCTGGTTCATATGAGAATTTTGTAGATACTATGCTATATAATAGAACTACAATTTTGTTAATGATGTGAAAGATGCTCTTATGTCCAAAGTATTGAAAAGAAAGGTTTATCTAGAAAAGGGTTCAGGTCTATTCGTAGGTAGGGGAAGACCACATGAGAGAGGTAATGAGAATGGGAGGTCGTGTTCAAAATCAAAATCACCTAGCAAAGTTAAATGTTATCTTTCCAAGGAGAATGAGCACATTAAAAAGGATTGTCCACAGAAGAAGGGAAATAGAAAAGTTGAGTCTAGTAATAGTGGCAATGCTATTGTGTTACAAGACAATTTTGGTGATGGGAACCTTGGTGAAGTTCTGACAGTGTGTAGTGCTAGTACTGCTGATACTTGGATTATGGATACCGGTGCTTCTCCCTATATGACATTCTCTCGTGATCACTCACTTCTTTCAAAGAGTGGAATGAAACGGTGAAGTTAGACGATGATGGGGTACTAGCCATAAAGGGGAGTGGGATAGTGCAGATAAAATTGCATGACTGTACCGTCAAGAAATGTGACTGCTGGTATGTTTCTAAACTCAGAAAGAATTTGATTTCTCTTGGCACCTTAGCCAAGAATGGTTTAAAATATCATGGTGAAGGTGAGTGGATGAAAGTCCTAAAGGGTGCTCTGGTAATGATGAAGGGAAAACTGCAGCATGAAATTTATTTTCTACAGGGTAGTTCAGTGATGGGAACGGCGGCGGTATCCCAGTCCTTGGATGAATATGATGACACAACAAATTTGTGGCACCATCGATTGGGTCACATGAGTGAGTAGGGGTTGTCTTTGCTGAGCAAACATGGTTTATTTGGTGGGGATGTGACAGGTAAAATTCAATTATGTGAGGCTTGTGTAAAAGGGAAGCAACGCAGGGTGGGATTTAGTACCGGTTGTCACACTTCAAAAGAAATTCTGGAGTATGTTCATTCAAATTTATGGGGTCCTCTCCGGTGAAATCGTACGGCGGTTGTTCTTACTTTGTCACTTTCATAGATGATTATTCAAGAAAAGTCTTGGTTGTATTTTTTGAAGACTAAAGATGAGGTGTTTAGGAAGTTCAAGGAGTGGAAGACCATGAATGAAAAAAAAACGGGTAAATAGGTCAAGTCTCTAAGAACTGATAATAGGTTGGAGTTCTCCAACACTCCATTTGATGATTTCTGCAAGAAATAAGGTATAGTGAGATACTGCATTGTACGACACACACCACAACAAAATGGGGTTGCAAAGCGTATGAACCAAACCCTCATGGTGTGTGCTAGGTGTATGCGCATATTTGCTGGCTTATCTAAGCAATTCTGGACTCAAACAGTTAACTCTGCCAGCTATCTGGTTAATAGATCTCCATCAACTGCAATTGACTTAAAGACTCCTCAAGAGGTATGGTCCGGTAAACCTTTTGATTACTCTAAATTTCTCGTAGGATGTGTCAATACATGTGACATTGATTCAGTGGCTTATGCATTGGCGGTTAATGTGGTGAGAAGGTTTATGGCTAATCCGGGTAAAACTCACTGGGGAGTTGTAAAGTGGATCTTGCAATATTTGAAATAAGCGCCTGATTTGTCTGGTATATGATGATAAAGGCCATGGTAATGGTGTGGTTGGCTATGCAGACTTTGATTTCTGACTTGCTTCATCTTCACTATGTTTGGATGTGACTTAGTGAAACGAAGATCACTGACTTGCTTTGTCTTCACTCTCTTTGGATGTGTAGTCAGTTGAAAGTGTACTTTACAACCTACAGTTGCATTGTCGACAACTGAGGCGGAATACATGTCAATGACTGAAGATGTTAAGGAAAGTATCTGGTTACATAGTCTGGTGCAGAGTTTGGGTCTGAAGGTGGAGATACCAGTGTTATTCTGTGATAGTCAGAGTGTTTTGACTTTGGCTAAAAATCCGGTGTATCATGAGAGAACCAAACATATTGATGTAAGCTTGAATTTCATCCGTTATGTTCTGAAGAGAAACATGTTTTCTATTCAGAAAATAGCTACATAACACAATCCAGCTGATATGTTGACAAAGGCGCTACCGACGAAGAAGTTCGAGCACTGCTTGAACTTGGTGAATATTCGTAGGAGGTAAAGTCCTCTCGGGGCATCTGACAGGAATGAGGCGACTGAGAGATACCGATGAACCTTTAGCGGTTGGAGAAACTTCAAGTCAAGGTAGAAATTGTTGAAACGTGACTTGGATTTAGCAGTCTATCCAACCCAGAACCAAAGCGAAAATACCATTTCAATTGACAGAGTTCCTTTTAGGTCCATTCTAATTAATAAGAAATGAGTTTAGGGTTTAGGGTATTTTGGGGTACTTATAAATAGTAGTTATGGTTCATAGCCGCATGATAATGATTGTAACTCTCTGAATCAATATAATAAAATTTCTTTGGTTCTTGCCCTTGAACATATGTTAACACACCGTCACCAAACTACGTAAAATATAAAATTTCTGTGTTCTTTATTTTTTTTATTTCTCATTTTTTTCATTACAATATATATATATATGAAAAAATTCAAATATTGCAAGTATAATAATAAACTTTGCATTGTCATAATAGATTATAGTTATCTTTTACTAAACAAATATATTTTTTTTAAAAAAGAATAAGAAGTCACTTGTATTTGCAGTGGTGTTCTTTATTTAATTTCGTAATTCATAAATAAAAGGGAGAGATAAGTACCGTTACTTGTAGTCAGGGTACGTGGCTACAATATGCTTTATTAAATTCCATTAATGCCTTTTTTTTTAACAGTAGGCATGTTTAATTAATGCCTGCTAATGTAACAGTCTGCAATGTCAACTTCTCCAGCTGTAATTTCTCCTCAAAGTATGGAAATTCACATGCTGCAATTTAATTAAAAGAGAGAATCATGATTATGTAATAATAATAATAATAATAATAATTACAATTAGATAATAAAAATTAACAAAATTTGACACTGCAAAAGCAAGACATTGCCCCAAAATAAGTCGAAATCATTGAGATCCCACGACTTACTCTCAATATATTATTATTTTCTTATTTTGCACAAGTTTATATGAGTAACCAAAGGCTTCAAATGTTGCTTATGACATACGGTGGAATCGAAGAGTTATAGTTCAAATTTAGCTATATATATATATATATATATCTAAAAGGATAGAATAATGAGGAAATTATACTTTCTCCGTCCGCCTTTAAGAGTTACATTTACTTTTTACTCGTTATACTAAACATTAAAATTATTTTTATTCTTATATAATTTTTTGTATAAATATTTTTATATTAGTATTATAAGACACTAATTAAAGTATTTTTTTAATTTTTTTTTTAATTTGTATTACGTTTTGATATAATAATTGATATTTAAATGTCAACATGCAAAAAGTAAATCGAACTTTTAGAGCCGGACAGAAGTAATATTATTTATTTTGCACGTCTATCATTAAAATCTTTTTCTTGTCATGATGTGATCCCGTAATATTAATTTGTTATCGAATTAACCTAATTTCGAGAAGCTCGCAGTGATATCGAATATGCTTACTAGTTGAGTACAATTCAAATGAAAACACATGTTAAATGTTATTAATTAACCACTATCTAATTTCGAAGATGTAAAATTAGCATTTAAAGAAGTTCGATTTCCTCATTTCATAAAAATCTTTCCTAAAATATAGCAAATTAAATCAAGAAACATGTCAGATCTAAAGCCTTCCATGGTTTTCTTTCTGCTCTTTATCTTGCTTTCTGTTGATGCACACAAACTGAGCCTTGATTTCTATTCCAAGACATGCCCGAGTTTGGCGAAGATCGTCCGCGACACAACAGCGAGGTATATTTCTATAGCACCGTCCCTCGCACCGGCATTGCTGAGATTGCATTTCCACGATTGTTTTGTTCTGGTATGTACAAGCCTTAATGTTGCTAACTATTTCATCCATTTGTATGTTTGATCATTAATTTTATAATTTATTTCGCAATAGAGCTATTAAACAAGCCGAGTAAGCTCGAGCATATGTTGTTCAAACTCAAGTCAAATTTGTTAAAACAATACAAATTCGACTTTGCTCGCTAAGAATTTAAGTTAAAATGGTAGTTCGAACTTGACTCATTGGGCTCAAATTCAAATTCGAGCTTAGCTGGTAAAGCTCGAGCTCGAGTTCAAGTTTGACTCGAATTTTATTCATATTTTATATATTTTTTAATCATTACGATATAATTTTTAATTTATAATTTATTATAATAAAATATTCAAATTTTATTAATAAATAAATTTTTGATATAAAAATCATATATATTATACTCTCTTCGTCACAAAATAATAGTTTTATTTTGCCATTTTCGTCTGTCCTAAAACAATAGTTTCATTTTTATTTTTGGTAACTAACTATTCATTTTTTTACAAAACTATTCATACTTTTTCATAATAATTATATAAGGTATGGTCATTTTAGTTTTTTAAAAACATTTCTACACCTACTATTAATATAATACTATAACTCTTTAATTGTCGTGTCCATCACAAATATTCCTATTGTTTTAGGACGGAGAAAGTATTAATATATAAAATAATATAAATCTATTATCACGAACGAGCTCAATTAAGCTACCAGCGAGTGGAGCTCGAGCTTGAGCTCGACTCATTTATTGAAATAATAAATTTTTAGCTTGAAGTCGACTTGTTTATCTTTGTTAAAAGTCGAATTAAACTATTAACGAGTCGTGTCAAGCTTGGCTCATGAACTACTATATTGGTTTAACAGTTCTAATTCGCAGTAGTTAGATTCTAATCCTATAAGCTCACATGAGCCTCACCTGATGTTTGAATAACAGGACTAAATCAGGAACTGCCAAAACATAATAATTTTCTAAAATTATTTTGCTCAATGTAATTGAAAACACTATGAAGCAATAAAAAAACTTAGATCATGTAAGAATATATATATGAACATTGATTAAATAATTAAACAGTGATTTAGTTGATGGTTGATCAATACATGCAGGGATGTGATGGATCGATACTCCTAAACTCTACGAGAAATAACTTAGCAGAGAAAGATATGATCCCCAACCAACACCTTCGAGGATTCCAAGTGATCGATGCTGTCAAATTGGCAGTCGAAAAGAAGTGCCCTCGAAAAGTTTCATGTGCCGATATTTTGGCTTTAGCTGCAAGAGATGCAATTTTACAGGCAACACCTTCTTTCAAAATCTTTTTTCATACACAAACACGTGTGTGCAAACACACACGTGCATTATATGGTTTATTTGTTTAGAGTTTTAGTTGAGATTTTCTTTTAGTGTGAAGCATAGAAAATCGTGTCCGTAATATAAAAAATAATATTTTATATTGAATTATTAACTTTTACGAGAGAAAGAATATAAATATTGTACTCCTTTTGTCCTAACTCAATGTATCTCTTTGTTTTTTTTAGTATATTAAAAAATAATACTCCCTTCCGTCCCATATACTGTGTCTGTTACACTGTAGACACGGTATTTTAGGAGGGGTATAATTAGTAGATAATTAAGTATGTATTAGTGAAAATAATTATCCTATAATATAAATAATTATAAATTAAGATTAAGATAACTAATTAGTTTAATTAAAATTTAAAAAAAATTAAAAAATTTAAAATGAGATTAAAGTGTTTAATCATTTTCCAAAAAAGGAAAGTGACATGGAATATGAGACGGACAGAAACAGCAACGTGGACATGGTATGTGGGACGGAGGGAGTAATATTTTATTTGTTAAAATGTATGAGATGATTTTGATATTTTTGTCTTTGAAAATACAAATAAAATAAATATTTTGTAAAAATTAAATGTATTTTACTATAATTAAAAATAGATATGTTGAGTGCGACAAACCAAAATTATAATAAGGGGACATTGAGTTGAGACAACGGCAATATATACTTTCTCCGTAAAATATAATAGTCTCATTTTGTCATTTTTCGTCAGTGTTAAAACAATACTCTCATTTTTACTTTTGTAACTAACTCCCCACTTTTTCTACAAACCTATCCCTATTTTTTCACAATACTTACATAAAGTACATTTTGGTCTTTTATAAATATTTTTATACTCAGTATCCATTTAATATTGTATTACTCCTTAATTTTGGTACTCATCTCAAATATTCCTATTGTTTTAGAAGGGAGAGAGTATTAAGAATTATGTTAGATAAAAAATTGAATTGAGTGAAGAAACCCTATATATTTGCTACTCTTTGTACGCTCTAGCGTAACAAAAAGAAAAGGGAGACAATGGAATGAATTTCGATAATTATATATAAAAAATTATAATTTGTATTTTTTCTATTAGATTTGTATCGATCGACATATTGTAATTTCCTATATTGATCACTAATATATCAAACTATTTTTTTTTGTGCATACTTGTGTTATAGATTAAAGGGCCATTTTGGAACGTTCCCTTGGGTCGAAGAGATGGTAGAAAATCGAGTGCCAAACAAGCCTCGGCCAATATCCCACTTCCTTCCTTCAACATTACACAATTAGTAACATTGTTCGCTTCAAAGGGCTTAAGTACCAAAGATCTAGTTGTCCTTTCAGGTAATGAAAAATAAAAAGAAGAAAATGTAGAGTAAATTTCATTACAATATTTTTACACACCTTCATTCACCATTTTGAATTTAAATGTATGAATTATAATGATCATAAATAATTTATTGTAATATTGACATACTCGCTAGAATAGGATTTTAATAAAAATCATTGAAGTATTAAGCAATATATTATATTTATGGTAGTTGTCTTATTTAAGAGATCTGCAGGACTTTTGCATTATTTAGATGATTTTTATATCATGTACGGATTCTTACGATTGAAATAGACACAACAAAAAAATAGTATATTTGTAACGGAATTTCGTTCCTAAGGTTCGCGTAACTAACGCAATTCCATCACAAATTCCGTCTCTAATATCATTAGTAACGGAAAAAGTGGATTTAACAACGAAAAAATCTTGTTATAAAATTGATAGTTTTTTGTAGTGAGAATTTCAGTTTGATATTCTCACAAAATATGCGTTAATAAGTTTACATACTTACGATTGAAATAAAGAATTTCAGTTTGATATTCTAACAAAATATGCATTAATAAGTTTACATAATTACTATATCTTTCATGTATCATTTGAACATTTCTAACTACACCTTTCAGGAAGTCACACCATTGGCATCTGCCATTGCTCCTGGTTCACGACTCGCATATACAACTTCACGGGGAGGGGCGACGCCGACACTACGATGAACCCCAACTATGTCGCTGCCCTCAAGAGGGCATGCCAGCTAAACGACAAAAAGACCTACGTAGAAATGGATCCAGGCAGCTTCAGGGATTTCGACAACAGCTATTTCAGAAATGTGAAGAAAAGAAAGGGACTTTTGCAGACAGATTCTGCACTGATGAACAATGCATACACCAAAAGATACATACAAAGTCATTCATTCTATGGGTTTGATAACACTTTCTTCGACGACTTTGCAGTTTCAATGGAGAAGATGGGAAGAATTGGAGTGCTGACAGGAACTTCTGGAGAAGTAAGAAAGGTTTGTTCTTTTGTTAATTGAAGTTAAGAGTAGTTGAAAATTTTTCCATAAGTTATTTTATATCACTGATTGTGAACCCTAAGCAATAGAAAAACTTGGGGTAAAAAAAGACACAATATCATAAACCAGCTCAATCCTTTCAGGAGAATTTAGGATCTTACACCAATATGTGAAGTGTAATGTGTTCATATCACTACAAAAAAAAAAAAAAAAAAAGTAGTATATTTGTAACGAAATTTCGTTCCTAAAGTTCACGTAGCTAACGTAATTCCATCTCTAATTCCGTCTCTAATATCATTAGTAACGGAAAAAAGTGAATTTAGGAACAAAAAAATCTCGTTACAAAATTGATAATTTCTTATAGCGTATGATTGTTTGAATACTTCACTAGACAAGAATAGTTGGTTGGATATATATAAGAGCACAATCTGGAAAGTAGAAAAAGTTAGAAAGTGATATGGTAACTCATCAATCACAATTAAAGGATAGGAATAGAAAATATGATTGTTTGTGTATTTCATGGTATCTTTACACCTGGCTTAAGGCATCAACACAATACTGATTAAGGTATCTTTAGCTAATTGCAAACCAGGCCCGACGAGAAAGTCACACTACGCGAACCATGTGTGGCAGATGACTGTCGGGGGTTCGAATCCATGACCTCACGGTCACAAATCCAACCCCTACACCACCAGACCATTCTTTACCGGACAATATGCTTAATATTAATTGTTTATACATCACAGGACAATAATAGATTTTATATTTTATTTTTAAAAATATCTAGTTGCATTCTTTCAATAATTGGATATATAGGATTTTTTGTATTAATTTTTAAATATTATGAAAATTTTATTAAAATATTTGCTTTTGTTGTTTTGTTTAATTGTTTTAAGAAAATTAATATATTGTTTATTGACAAATACGAGAATAATTGTTATTAGAAATAGTATAAAATGTAAACCAAAAAAAAGAACTAATTATACATATATGTAATTTATTAGGTTAAATTTTATTTAATTTATTTTTTATTGAACATAAAAATTTAAATAAATTTATTCCAATATATTTAATTTATATGTAATACAAAATTTTAATGGATAATATATATATGAATATATACATAAATTAATAATATTTTTATTTTTATTTTGCCTTTATTCTAATAAACTTAAAAATTTTGCAAATAACAATTTACATATAAAAAATTAATTATTTTAAATACATAAAAGTAAATTTATAATTTATTAGAAGAAAACAAATTGAAATAGTTTCAATAAAAAAATATGTTAATATGTTTGAAATAAATATTTAATTTTAAAGGCAAAAAATAAATAAAAAAGTTAAATCGAAAAACTATTATGAAAAAATTAGGTTTTTTAAAGTAACAAGCTATTTAAAAAAATTAATTTACCAAATACTTGAATGAACTTTTTTCACTTCGTGAAAGCTCTTTGAAAAACTATTTTTCAAACACTCTTTTATATCGCTATTTATTGGATTAGAGACATACATATACAATAGGATGGTTAAGATTTAATAAAACTAAATTAGCAATTTTAAAGTAAAGCACACTATTGTGATTCTGTAATAACATTAAAAATATAATGTATAATTTTTTATACAAATATGTATTATAAGACACTAATAGGTATTTTTGTCTTTTTCTTCTTATTTATACTACGTTTAGATATAATAATTAATATTTAAAAATTAATATTCAAAAAAATAAATGTCGAACATTGTAAGTGGATGGATGTAGTAATAAATAGTTGTGTATTCAATTATGATTTTATTGGTCTTTTTTTTTTTAACTTTAAAATAATTATGAATTTAGAAAATTTATATCTTTTTTTATATACACTACAAAAAAATAATATATTTGTAACGGAATTTCGTTTCTAAAGTTCATGTAGCTAACGTAATTTTATCCCAAATTCTGTCTCTAATAGCACTAGTAACGGAAAAATTAGATTTATGAACGAAAAAATTAGATTTAGGAACAAAAAAACGTCGTTACAAAATTGATATTTTCTTGTAGTGATATTTATATATATATATAGAGTTTGATTGACTTTGTTTATTAATTTATAGTAACTTTTATAAAAATATTGGATTATAGTTTAATTTAGATAAATGACATATCTTTAATGAATGCGTTATCCAATAAGTAGAAACTAATGGAACCATATTACTTTCTTCATTGTTTTGTCCAATAAAATATTCGACATCTTTAGTTCTAAACTTCTATTTATTTTGATGTTAAATTAGATGTCCATATTGCTTAATTGGTTAAATTAGATTATCAATCGTTATAGACTTAATATAATTAATCTTCACGGTTTATGTTTTAAAAGTCGATATATATTAGCATATTTTTGCTAGAGTAATTGAGATTGATATATTTAATAAATGTGAATGGAAATCGCTCTAAATTATTTTGGCATATGAACTAATGGTGTCTTAATTTATGCAGTAAAGACTTTCCAAAAAACAAAAGATATATTTGTGGAAAGATAAAAACATGGAAACTTACTCCTTCCATTTCGGTGCAAAGGAAAATTAATGTAGAATCTTTTATTTTAGGAATGTGAGTGATTTACTCAGCCGAATAGGGTTGAAGATTGATGATGATTGATTTGGAGATCATACTTTAGAGAGAAGAATATTGAGTGAAGCTCTCATCACTCTATCCATATCGATAGTTTTTGACAGAAAAATTCGCCAGAGAGGTCGACGTGATCGGAGTTAAAGGAGTTCCAACCGGAGAGGATGATCAAACTCTAAGCGGCTCTGCTATATGGTCGTTGTCAGTACGCGTTTGTGACAACGTGAACCTGTGGAAGTATTTTCCAAGGTAGACCATGATAGGAGTTTGAGTTGAAGAAGTTATGATTGTTTATACTTTGTAATCAGTACTTATTAGTAGAATGTCTCCTGTATTGGAATCCCTGGATGTAGATTGGTTGATAATTGAACCGGGTCAACAAACACCTTGTCTTATTGTTGTTTTATGTTCTGCATTGTTTTTTGTTGTTGAAACGTAATTATAACTGTGACCCCGCCACGCTTCGGGAGTTAACCCTTTAAAGTGTTTGAATGTGTTTTGTTCGATAAATCAGTCCCCAACAATAAACATATGTAGAATATTGTTTTTTGTTCCAGTACTGTTTAACATTTCATAATCATGATTAACTACTAAGTAGTTGGTTATTTTTGTTTTATTATTATGATTTTGGATTTTTTATCTTTAAATAATTGTTTAGATGTGATGTTTGTGAAAAAAATATTATATATTTATTAAAACTAAGACAGTTAAGTAATAACGAAAACTTTCAACTATTTCTTTTTATTATTCACCAACAATAATTTATTCTTTTTTTAAAAATATCAAATAATACATTTATTTTATATTTAATATATTGAATTAAAAATTATTTATCATTCAAAACATCAAATCAAATATATATTTAAATAAACCAAAGAATCATCTTAATGCAAAACTTTATTATTCTCAAATACACCAAAACACAAGCAAAGAATGAATTATTTGTAAGGAGAATTCAATGATTCTATATCAATGAATTTTAAACTATAATATTTAAAGTATGTGTTCACCAACAACTTTTTTAACAGGATTCTATGCTAATTAATATTATAAAAAATATAATATACACATACACTCCCAATAATATATAGATATATTATTTATTAACAACTCGATACAAAAATATTATATTTTAAATTGCAGACATAATTTTCAATACTTAACATCAAAAGACCTTAAACTCAAAACACAAGAAACTAAGCTAGTTATCATTTCAAGTAATACACACATAATCATCTTGCATAGGTAACACTTTATACCAATATAAATGTTGATAAAATTTAAATTAAAAAACATTTTAGATTTATTAAATCTATTTAATATATATATATATATATAATACCAACTGTGTGCATTACACGGATATCGTCTAAGCATTTCCTAATTCAATAAGGGTGTGTTTAGTATAGAGAATTGACAGAAGATAAATGAAAATATTTTTATTTCTATTGTTCGTTTGAATTAGATAAATAAAATTTGAAAAATAAATTATTTCTATTTCTCTTATAGAGTGTGTTTGGTATATAGAATTGACAGCAAAGAAATGAAAATATGTTTATTTCTCTTGTTTGTTTGAATTAGAGAAATAAAATTTGAGAAATAAATTATTTCTATTTCTCTCGTAGGGTGTGTTTGGTACAGGGAATTGGCAGCAGAGAAATAGAAATGTTTCCATTTGTCTTGTTTATTTGAGTCAGATAAATGAAAGTTGAAAAATAAATTATTTTTATTTCTCTCCTATATTTATAGAAAGAAATGATGTTCCAGTATATATATATTTAATTTTTTTATTCTTTTTTTTACTATTTAATTTTTATAATTATTTATATTATATTATTTCAGTTTTACAAAAATTATTTTTAATTTATCATTCAAATATTTAATTTTTTACGATTTTTTTTAAAAAAATTATACTAATATATGATCTTACAAAACTTAGTATATAATTTATATTTTTTGTTTTAAAAAAAAGTTACCATAAATATTTTTTCACGATTCTCACTCGCTAAAGCTCTCTTTTATTAGATTAATCATTTATTCTTGTCCGATCCATTTATTTTTTTTTACATTTCTTAACTGAATTTTCTATTATACCAAACAAGAGAATTAATTCTCATTCTCTATTCTACCAAACAAGAGAATTAATTCTCATTCTCTATTCAATTTCCTTTCTCTCCAATTTCATTCTCTGCTCTCATGCAATTTCATTCTCTGTACCAAACGCCCCATATTATTAAGAGAAATAGAGAGAAATGATTTGCAGTATATTGGTTTTCTTTTCATTTAGTATTGTTTTTTATTAATATTCTACTTACCTATTTTATTTTTTTATTTTTTTTATTATTTAATTTTTATAATAATTTATAATATATAATTTTTTGTTTTAAAAAAAGTAACCGAAATATTTTTTTCATAAGTTCTCACTAGCTAAAACTCTATTTTGTTAGATTAATCATTTATTCTTGTCCGATCCATTCATTTTTTTATATTTCTCAATTGAATTCTCTATTCTACCATACAAGACTCTACTCAATTCATTTTCTCTCAAATTTCATTCTCTATTCTTATTTGTCTGCAATTCCATTCTCTATACCAAACGTCTCTTAATTACTTTTGCTATGAACAAACACCAATTAATCAATTAAAAAGCATTCTGGCTTGCTGTAGCTTTTATCTTATTATTTATTTCATTATTTGATTTGTTAGTTCATTAGGAATATATGGAGGGAAATTGTAGTTAGGGTTCGTGGCTAGAACGTGCTTTATTAAATTTCAAAGTTGTTGAGATTCCTAATTAAATACCATAAATTAATGAATGTATGTCAAACTTCTCCAGCTGCTTAATTATATGTTGGAATTCAATCAAAACTGTTCATCATAATCGTGAAATTAATTTAAAAAAATTAACAACATTTGACAATGAGAAAGCAAATCAGTCCAAAACGAATCAAATCACGAATGAAAAAAAAATTGGATAAATAGTGGATTTGGGGCAAAATCCCCCAAACAAACATTGTTTGGGGGATTTTGCCCCAAATCCACTATTTATCCAATTTTTTTTTCCAAAAACATCATATCAAACATTTTTTTTTATTTTTTTATTTTTTATATTATACTAAAAATCAATTTTACATTTAAAACATCACATCAACGCCTATTTATATCACAATATCAACTCAAAATCCAAACCCCCGAACAAACACAGATTTATTCTCAATATATTATTTCTGATCGATTGTGTACGAGTTTATCTAAATAATTAAACAAATGCTTAACGTGCCTAATTGTAAAATGAAAATGCTATTGTTTAATCATATACCTAATGAGGTGGAATAATTCAAAAAATATAGGCTCCATCTAAACAGAAGTTTTAGAGTTTTAGATTTTTGAAATATTTTTATAATAATAAAAAAATAAGTAATTTATCTAATATTTTTTGAAAAAAAAAGTATTTGATGTGATGTTTTTTTTTTTTTTGTTTTTGAAGAAATATAGTATTTGTTGATGTATAGTGTCAAAATTTCTCAAAATATGTATGTAAATAAAGTCATAACTTTTGTTTGTTACATTTATAAAATTATCATTTATTTATCATCATCATTGTTGTGTCGTTGTTGTTGGTTTGTTCTTTTCGAAGTGCAATTTTTATGAGTAATTTTCATTTTCCCGCGATGTTGGGTAGTAAGTGTTCATTTATAAGTCACCTAATCTAATGTTCAAGTGAGCAAGTCCGATTGAAATCGTGGAGAAATGAAATTTGCATGACCAAATGAAATTGACAAAAAATGTACAAAGAAAAAGCTATAAAAGAAAATAAAAACCATAAGTTTGGTTTCACCATAGATTTACTTCATTCATCAAACATAAATATTCTTGAGAGTATACTTTTGATCATTTATTTTAATTGAAAATAAACAAATAACTCAAAACATTCTACTTTCTTCTGTATACGAAAAATTATATATTTTTATTGAGAATCGTGTGTTAAGAATAATATTGATTTTGATTTGAAACTAAAATCAAATACAATTAGATATTTTAATTTATAAAATATAAAAAATTCCTAAAGTACATTCTTGAGAGATAATTTCTTTTAATTTAACATGCCATGCAAATTATACATAGAATACCTAAATATTGGAAATAAATAAATAAGAGTTAAAACCAAACTACCCAAATTATGTACTATATGAGATGATCCTTTTAAGTAATGGTCTTATTTCTGACAAAATAAAACCACAAGTCCACAATAAGAACAAAACATCCTCGAATTACAAATCTAGGTACATGCTATTTCCTGTTTGGTGAGGATAGTTCTTACATCCATGTGCACATCAATAATTTTCATTACCAAACATAAAAAAATAAGAACAAAAAAATTAATAAATGAAGTCAAACCCTAAAAATAAAATTATACTTTGCTGTAATGACACCAACTTATCCATTACCATACAAACCTCACTACTATTTAAGAGAACTTCATTTTCCTCATCATTTCATCACACAAACTTCATTCCTAAAATACAACAAAATCAAGAACATGTCAGCTCTAAAGCTTTCCATTGTTTTCTTTCTGCTCTTCATCTTTCATTCTGTTAATGCACAGAAACTAAGCCTTGATTTTTATTCCAAGTCATGCCCGAGTTTGGCGAAGACTGTCAAGGATACGACTGCAAGTTTTATTTCTACAGCGCCATCACTTGCACCGGCATTGCTGAGAATGCATTTCCATGACTGTTTTGTTGATGTAAGCCTTAATGCTTATAAGTAGTTCATCTCCATTGAGAAAAATTGTTTCTTATATTTTTCGTATGCATCTAAGAACATCGATTTTGTTTAGTAAAATGCACTAATTTACTATTCTAGTCCTATAAGCTCATATGAAACTCACATGATGTCTGAATAACATGATCAAAATCGCAAATTGCCGCAATTACTAACTAACTAAAAGCATTATATCCTTTATAAAACAAAGCCTTATGAAGCACTGGCGAAACTTGCAATATGTAAGAATCTACACGCATTTATCGAATTAGTTAAACACTGAATATTTCATGGTTGATCACAGGGATGTGATGGATCGATACTATTAAACTCTACGGGATCTAACACAGCAGAGAAAGATGCAATCCCCAACCTGAGCCTCCGAGGGTTCCAAGTGATTGATGCTGTCAAATTGGAAGTCGAGAAGAAGTGCCCTGGAAAAGTTTCTTGTGCTGATATATTGGCTTTAGTTGCAAGAGATGCAGTTTCACAGGCAACAGTTCATTTCAGAAAAATTTTATGCATATATTTTTACACGCACACACACAATATACATCTTACATATATTGTGTGCACATATTCTCACAGTTCCTAAGTTCTTTGATTAGTAAAAAGGAGACTTTGTTTTGAATTAAAAACTAACTCGTAGTTACATAATAAAACACACTATTTTAGATATAGGACTATTACCATTTTAATATTGTGTTTGTATTTGTGTGCTTTCCAATATTTTTCATTGACATATTGAACTATTTCTTGCTACTATTTTGTGTTATAGATTAAAGGGCCACATTGGAATGTTACATTGGGGCGAAGAGACGGTAAAGTGTCGCGTGCTGGTCAAGCATTGGCAAATCTCCCGCCCGCTTTCTTCAACATTTCGCAGTTAATAGCATCGTTCGCTTCAAAGGGTTTAAGTGTTAAGGATCTTGTTGTCTTGTCAGGTAATTGAAAAAAATTAAGAAAACAAACACTACAAAAAAATAGTATATTTGTGACGGAATTCTGTTCCTAAAGTTCATGTAGTTAACGTAATTCCATCTCTAATTCTGTTTCTAATATCATTAGTAACGGAAAAAGTGAATTTAGGAACGAAAAAACCTCGTTACAAAATTGATAATTTTTTGTAGTGAAAGTGTAGAATAAATTTAAAACATGTTTCACACATCATCTCTTTAAGAAATATACTAACTCCGTCCAATTTGAAAATATATATTATTTTTGGTGGATAATTTAAGAAATAAAATTATTTTAATTGTAACAACTAGTTAAATTTTGTCTTTTGACTTTTCGTGTAAAAGTAATGATACGATGGTAAAGTATGAATATTTGTAAAAAAAATAAATTGAGTATTTTTTAAATGATTACTTTGTAAAACACCCCAAAGTAGAAATAGGTATATTTTGTGAGTGTCGGATAATAACTATGCATGATCTTCTATATGCATGTATAAATAAGACTTAGGATAAATTATCAATTGCTTATGCATTTTAATATAAATATGTGAAAATTTCGTTGTATAATTCCAATCCTTGACAGACTAGACTACAAGTGAGCAAGATGAATTAACTATCCAGTAAAATTTATGGTAAATTATTTAACACCCTCTATTATTACTAAAATTGCTCAAAATAACTTATATTTTATTTATTACGTAAAATTCATTTGTTTTAAATTAAAGTTGCATAAAACACCATCTTTATCTAAATTTAATGTTTGATTGTAAATATACAGATCTAATTATGTTAGTTTTATAAGAATAAAACAGGTAAAATATATTAAATAATCTTTTTTGAATGAAATAAATAAATAAACAATTAACCAATCCTTTATTTTATAATTTTTTAAGATAAAACATTACCTTATTTTTACAAAATATATATATATATAAAATAAAGTTTGATCAATTATTTATTTGTTTTATTTTATTAAAAAAAAAGACTATTTAAAATATTTTACATATTTTATTTGTATAAAACTAGCGCAATTAGGTTTGTTTTTACAACTACATCAATTTTGGACCAAAAAGAGTATTTTCGGTCAACTTTAATTTAACACTAGGAATTTCACGTAATAAATCAAATACAAAATGTTTTGTGTATTTTTATTAAAAAACAAAAAAAAAAAAAAGAAAGAAAGAAAGAAGAGAAATTTACATCATGTAATCCTACATTTATATTGTAAGTGTATATGTCACATATGAATTACCCTAAATTTTTACATGTATACACACGTATTATTGTGCATGCAATGTATATTTCCATCTAAAACTTTTCATATACTCTCTCCGTCCGTTAAATTTATTCTCACTTTTTTTTTAGCCATTCCGTTAAATTTATCACATTATTAATTTTGGCAAAGTAAACAAATCAAAATTTAATCATTATCCTTCATTCAACACTTATTTATAACAACACCACTAATTTTATTACATTCTGTCTTCATTTACTTTTATTTCTAACCAAATTTCCATACCCCCAACTACCTATCATTTGAGCTATTACATTTTGTCCGTCATTTACTTTCATTTCTAACCAAATTTTCATACCCCCAACCACCTATCATTTGAGCTATTTTTAGTGGACGGAGGAAGTATATATATAGGAGTTATTGTTTTTTGTTCGCATATTACATATTACATATTAAATACTTCTTTCATGTAATTAACCTTTTAAATATCAAACACCTTTCAGGAGGTCACACCATCGGAAACTCCCACTGCTCCAGCTTCACAACTCGCATATACAACTTCACAGGGAGGGGCGATGCCGACCCTACAATGGATCCCAACTATGTCAAGGAGCTCAAGAAAGTATGCCGGCCAACCGACACGACCACCATTGTCCAGATGGATCCAGGCAGCTCTAAGGATTTCGACAACGACTATTTCAGTATTGTGAAGAAAAGAAGGGGCCTTTTCCAGTCAGATGCTGCACTTCTAAACAACCCTGTCACCAAAAACTACATTCAAAGCCATTCATTTAACGGGTTTGATAAGACTTTCTTCAATGACTTTGCTGTATCAATGCAGAAAATGGGAAGAATTGGGGTGCTGACAGGAACTGCTGGAGAAATCAGGAGGGTTTGTTCTGTTGTGAACTGAAATTAGGGCTAGGGTTTGTGATTGGTTTGTCTACATCATGTTTATTTGATCTGTGTGTTCAGTTGAGTGGTTTGTTTGATTGCTTAGTGTCAATTGTTTCTTGTAGTGTGATTTAAATGATTTCGATGTCTTGAATATTCTTTCTTTATTTTTAGAATTGCAATAAAATGTAGGATTTGTAAATAATCTGGGTACTTTGGTTTATCAGGTGGCTTTATTTTTATCATATTTTAGGATATTAATTATAATCATCGAGCACAGAAGACCCAACAAGCATTAATGCTATCACAACTCATAAAATATGACCCCAAAATATTCCGGTAAGCAAAAGCCCAACCCTAACAAATACTCCCTGGTCTTGCTACAGATAATCTATTTTTTTGGTCTGTCCCATAAAAAGTTGATAATTTTTTATTTTTAGTAAATTTATTTATATTAAAAAAATTTAAAAAGTATAAATCTAACTTGATTAAATTTTTAACTACTTACATGTAAAGCTACTCAAAACTCCTTTATTTCTATCTCTCATCAATAAATAAATATTTTTATCTATATTTAAAACTTCTCATTTTTTATAAAATTAATTTTAAATTAATTTTAAGTGAATAAAGTTCAAAGCAATAACTTTTTTAAATAGTAATAAAATATTGAAAAAATTCTATTTACGTCTTATATTAATCATAACACATTCATATATTGCTATTAAAATTATTCATATTGTAGTCATGTGAAAATACATGGCCATATAATTCAAAGTGTGTACGCAACAATACTTTAGATCTATCCAAATTTAAAAATTCAAAACCGTTTATCAGTTAAAAAGTCAGTCAACTTCACTGCTTATACAAAATACGAATGAAAGTCGTTAGAATTTGTAATACTTATTTGCATTCATCGGTTAACTTTAAATCTTGTATCAGTTGGCCAATTAGTTGACCAGGGACTTATTGTTACTTTATCCTCTTGTAGTGTGCAGGTTCAGATCAACGTACAATTCAAATTCTTGGAATTAGTCGAAAGGTGGGGGTCGCCCATTTAAGGTACAATCTTCAAAAATTTCACCCTGTAATTTTTATGTTACTCATACTCTATTTTCTACCCTTCTTTCTCATAGTCTCTAGTAGCACATTCGTCTTGATCATGCATCCTTCTCAAAATTTCAATCTCTGGTTAGTAAGGGTCATTTAAGTTCTACTAGTTTTTAGTCATTTGACTACTTACATTGTCGTTTGGGAAAATAACCATTTTTTTTACATTATGATATTTAGGATCATTCTTTTATTTCCTCTATGAGTGGGTGTCGTTATTATATCATATTCATTTATGATTACTCACGTTTTACATGAAATATTTTTTGAGACAAAATTCTTAATTATCTAAAATATACATTAATGAGCTCAAATGATTAGGACTCAACTTTATTATTCCATACAGACCATCCGTACTCATAATGACCCTAAATATAAAGATTCTACCTTATTAAACTTTATTTATGCTTAGGGTACAGTGATTCAGCGTTCATGTCCATACACCTCTCAATAAAATGGTTGCACTGAGCGTAAGCATCTTCAGATTCTAAATATTGTCCATACTTCACTTTTTCCTGCCTTTGTCCTGATAGGTTCTGGAGGGAAGTAACTGCGACACCTCGGCCCGCAAGCCACATAAAACTGGGCATATCGGGATGGTAAATTGGCCTCACAGGTCAACACGAGTCCTTCCAGTACGCTTATATCCCCAGTCATGGGCACCCTGTGATGCAAAGTCGGGCGTGTTAGACCGGGGTATCATAGTTGGTATCAAAGTAGGGCTTGTCTACGATCCCGATGCGCCCGACTTTGCGTGGCTTACGGGCCGGGGTGTCACAGTAGCCATTACTGTTGTGTATACTATAAATCATATTCCATCGTTTGTCCTCCATAATGTTACTCCTTTTATGTGTCTATATGGTTAACAACCCGATTATAGTAGCCTCCATCCATTTAGTTATGTTGGTTTTGTCTTTATCCTTCCGTACGAACGCTCCAAATTAGAACCTCGTGCGTGTCTGTGTCTTTTCGATTATGGGGTAGAGTATAAATGTTATAGGCTTTGGGATCCAATCTCTCAAAGGTTATGTATTTCTCGTCATGTTACATTTTGGTAGAGTGTCATATTTTCCATTGTGTCTAAATTTCATATCCCCGTTGTTTTGGGTCACTTTCATTCTTGTCGTCATGTTCTCTCTTGTTTCTTGATTCTGACCTTACGATCCTATCTCCACCTTCGAATCTTGTTTCAGTTGAGGCTTCTAATCCATCTCCGACCTTATCTCCATATGCTAATCTGACTGCGACGCCTGGACCTATCATACCTCTTCAATCACATAGAGTATGTCATCCACCTCCTCATTTGCGAGATTATCATTGTTTCTCTACTATCCAATCTCTGCATGAGCTCAGGTCATTTCATAAAGAAAATTTTGATCCATTATGGCGAGAAACGATGTCTGAAGAATTGCAAACTTTAGAGAAGACTCACACTTGAGAATTAGTTGATTTACCTCAAGATAAACACCTATTAGCTGCAATTAGGTTTTCAAGATTAAAACCAAGTCTGATGGGTCAGTTCAACGTTGCAAGGCTCGTTTAGTTGAGAAAGGCTACTCACAGAAATTTGATATTGATTATGATGAGATCTTTTCTCTAGTTGTGTGTCTTATCTCTGTTCGTTGTTTAATGCAATTGTGATTGTTCGTAAGTGGTCTCTCTTGCAATTGGACGTCAAGAATGTTTTCCTTTATAGTGATCTCTCTGAGGATGTTTATATTGCATTGCCTCCAGGTTTTCCTGCTACTTCTAAAGTCTGGAAATTGCAGCGTGCACTTTATGGCTTAAAATAGACTCCACGTAATTGGTTTTCTAAGTTCATCTAAACTCTTCTTCAGTTAAACTTCAATCTAGTTTTCACGACTCTACATTATTTATTCGATGAAGTTCTTCTGAAATTATTGTTTTACTTCTCTATGTTGATGATTTGATCCTTATTGCGAATGATCAGTCTGATATATCTTATTTACAGAACTATCCTCAGCAGGAATTTGATATGAAGGGTTTTGGCCACATTCGGTATTTCTTGGGTATTGAAATATCTGATAGTTCTAATGGATTTTACATATCTCAGTCTATGTATGCTTCTTATATATTGTCTCGTGCTGGTCTCACTGATTGCAACAAAGCTTCGAAATCTCCTGACGTTGGATGTCATTTTATACCCATGGATGAGACTCTTCTTGATAATCCTTCTCTTTATCGCCAGGTCGTAGGAAACTTGATTTACTTGACTGTCATTTGTCCTGACATTGCTTACGCAATACATCTAGTTAGTTAGTTTATGTTTGCACCACGCACCATTCATTACTCTGCAGTTCTACCTATTCTTCGTTATGTTAAGAGAACATTGTTGCATGGATTACACTTCTCATATCAGACTTCCTTAACTTTATCTAGTTACTATGATGCTGACAATGTTCCACTATTGTTTTATGTTTTGTTTTTGGGTGATTATATGTTTTTTCTAGCGTAGCAAGAAACAAACAATTGTTTCTCGTCCCAGCACTGAATCTACGCATCGAGATCTTGTTGATGCTATGTCTGAGCTCTTATGGCTTTGTTGGTTACTTGATGATCTTAGAATGCCGCAGTCATCTCCTACTCCTCAACAACATGAGTGCTTTCAGATTTCTAACAATTATATTTTCATAAGCGCTTCAAACACATCAAGATTAATTGTCATCTTGATCGCCATCGTGTTACTCATGGCAACGTCAGACTATGCTCTGTCTCCTCCAATGATCAAACTGCAAATATTTTTACCAAGTCACATGATCCTACTTAGTTTTAGTCTCTCTTACACAAAAAGTTGGCTTCTACCATACCTACTTAGTTTGAGGAGATATTGGAATATTTATTGTTATTTATATTAGTTGTTTATTATATTGTTTTTTTTTTATCCGTTTTGGACTATACTTATAATAAGTCTTGACTTTATGATTAATGCAATTAATTATTTTTCTTTCCAAAATATTATTCTAACAACAATATTGAGAAATATTGGGTGTGTTAAAGTTTGTATTCTTAGATGAATGTGTTTTTTATATTAGGTATGAGAAATCATATTGCTAATATAAAAAAAAAATATTTTGTATTAAATTGATAACTTTTTTAAATAAATAAAATATATATTATATACTCTTTCCATCCCGTAACTAAGTATCCATTTGCTTTTTACACGTAGTTTTAGAAATATTAGTATTATATTGGATATAGTAGGAATAAAGTAGAAATGACTAAAACAAATGTAATGACATTTGTGTAATATATTGTAAGTTGTAAGGGTATTTGTAATGTTAGGTAGATAGTACAGTTGCTAAAAAAGTAAACGGATACTTTGTTATGGGACGGACTAAAATGGAAAAATGGATACTTTGTTATGGGACGGACTAAAATGGAAAAATTGATACTTTGTTATGGGACGGATTAAAATGGAAAAATGGATACTTTGTTATGGGACGGAGGAAGTATATTGTGTCAATATGTATATATTATATTACTCACTCCATCCAATAATTATTGTCCTATTTTCTTTTTTAAACACAAATTTTACGTTTTTTACTCTTCATTTATTTATCACTTTTAATCTCTACCTTATCATAAATGATAAATTTGTCAATTCATACCCAAAAAAGAATAATTATCTAAAAAAATCGTGCATATATACTTTAGGACAATTATAAATGAATGGAGGGAGTATTTTATAATATTTATAAAAAATCGAGCCACCCAATATAGGTTAGTGAACAAACCCATCATTGTTTATACATCCACGATTTGGTTATATAAAATGTACGAATAGTTATTAAGAAATGGCAATAGAAGATATTTTTTGGAAAATGTTCATCTGGTGTTACAATAATGAAATACAAAGTCTCTAACCTATACCCACGAAAAGGTTTAGAAAATTTAAAAAAAAATGGTTTGACATTTTTTGTGAATGAATTAGGTCGATACTTCTAGTTGTTATCTACCTGCAAGTTTGTGCATATAATATATTCTTTATTATATACAAGTGGGTTAAAAACAAAACTCATTATAGTTTTATGAGGGTGTGAGTACATGCGTTTATGGATACAAATTAACTGCACACACTGCGTTTGTTTTTATATTTTTTATTATTTAATTAATTTTTATTAAATATTAATTTTATATTTAAAATATCACATATATATATATATATTTATATCAGATGGAATAACTATTCAGAAATTCAAACCCTCGGACAAACACAATTTGATCTTAAATTAAGATAAATGCAAGTCAATACTCAACTCTCTAGTTTTATCTATTACTCTCCCCCATGGGGAAACCATTTGTAGGATGATGGAGTGGTCTAAAAATGAACTCACTCATCTACACAAATTTTATTGCAAACACTTTTCATTATGGGACAAAATCATTTCAAGATCATTTCCAAATAGTCAAAGAGTTCAAGTTTTAGATGAGTTCGAAGTCTGAGTTTTTCAAGGTGTTTTCAAGTTAAAGAAGTAGTGTTGTTTAAATGATCCATTCAACCATATCATCCATCGATTAGTTTATCAGCATTGAATTAGACTACCGGTCGACTCTTATTGTGGTCTTTTGTGAACAGCAATAATTTCTATAGTACATAAAAAATCGATATATTGAAGATTGAGAGGACATGTAACTGAAATTTTGAAATGTTGTTTGATAATTTTTTATATACTTGGTTAAATATATAGTGAATAAGTCTAATGTGGAATCCCTAAATGTAAGACTGTAAACAAAAACCAGATAAATAGGATTGAGTATCATGTTAGTGAATAAGTCTAATGTGGAATCCCTAAATGTTAGAAACCTCAGACTCAGGGATAAATTAAAGGTTTGTCGGGATGGCCGAGACATAAACTTAAGATTTTAACCATGTATTAATTTATATTGCTATTTGATGTATTGTCAAAAATATTCTTAGTTGGTAGTCCGTAAGGAATTGTTTGATAGTATGAGGGTGAACTCGTGGCATAAGTTTAGATTAAACCTTAAATTATTTTTACATTTTACAAAAATTACTAATATTGTTTTATTTTAAAAGTTATTCAAGAGTATAATTTTGTCAAAGAAAGAAAAATAAAAATAAAATTTAGGCACTACCAATTAACAAAAGTAAAATGAGATACAAAATAAGAGAGGGTTAAGGTGCTGATTTTGGAAAATCAACGCATCTAAAATACAGAAACAACACATGTCTTTATTACACACAACATGTGTTGTTAGTAATAAAAGAATGTACACTTTATTCATAATTACAACGTTATGTTGTATAAAAGTATATCATGTATTAAAATCAACTATTGTACATATTGTTACTATATCATGTGTTGTATTATATTAACTCATATTATGTGTTGTCTGTGATAATATCGTTGTTATTCAACAGTGCTGAATATAATATTGAGCACTGTAGTTTTAGCCGCCGCCTACAAAATTGATAGTGGGATATCATTATAATTAGTTTTTTTTTTTTTTAATGAAAAAGTCTCTATTGATTTTGATTATCTAATTTCTTAAATCATAAAGAATGTTGAAAAGGACATTGTAGTTAAGGTTCGTGGCTGCAACATGCTATATTAAATCAAACTTACCAAGATTCCTAAAATGAATACCATGAAATACATCATGTTCTTGTCGCAGTTTGCAATGTCAAACTTCTCCAGCTGTTTATTTCCCCGACAGCATTGACATTCATATGTATATGTTGGAATTCAATCAAAATGGTTAATCATAATCATGAAATAAATATTAAATAAACAATATTAATTTGACCATGCCAAAGCAAAACATTGGTCCGAAACGAAACAAATACTGCAAATCCCACGAGTGATCCTCAACATATTCTTCCTATAATTTACGAGTTTAATTATAATATACAAAGACCTTAACGTTCGTAATAAATCATTAGAAAGGTCGTCGTAGGTTAATCATAAACCTAATAATAAGCTGGAATAATTAGGAATTTCAAAATATTTGTTGGTATGTATCTTCAATTATCACTTTTATTTTGTAGATATATACTGGGTAAACTGTTATTTTAGTCCCGTAACTTGACTCCCTTATCATTTTAGTCTCGTAAGTGGAGTCTGTCGCAAACTAGTTCTATAAGTGAAAATTTTCCGCTCTTTTAGTCCTTCCACCAGGTCAGCCGCACCTGGCGGACACGTGAATTTTATTTTTTTCATTTTCTTAACTTTTTTTTTAATTGGACCAAATAAAAAAAATTTTAAAAATAAAAAAAAAATTAAAAAAATTAAAAAATAAAAAATTAAATCCACGTGTCCGCCAGGTGTCGCTGACCTGGCGGACACGTGGCCTCCGGCGTGCCACGCGGGCGTCTCCGGCGCCGGAGGACTAAAATAGCAAAAAAAATTTACTTATGGGACTAATTTGCGACAGTCTCCACTTACGAGACTAAAATGATAAGAGGGTCCAGTTACGAGACTAAAAAACAGTTTACTCATATATATATATATTGTCCTAATTAGATCAGATAGTTTTTCACTTGTTTGAGACTGAATCTAATTGCTCGCTTCTAGAAGGATAAAAATGACGTAGCATACTTATAGACGAACATAAATTTGCAATTTTTTCATTAGAATAATTTTATTCATCAAACATAAAATAAGAGAACTCTCAATCAAAATTTTTTAGGAAACACAAGCACACATACACAAATTCAAGTTTCCCAAAAGGGCCAAATAGATCATTCATCAATGTTGGCTTACGACCTCACGACATCCATCTAAAGAGTCTCAATGGCTGGTCACCATTTAAGCAAACTCAATGGGTGTTTACGAGTTTTCAATGTTGCATATAGATCTTCAATTTTGGACCTTCTTGTATATTCTGCTAGCTCTCGATAGTCTTTATTGTAATTTTTTTTCTTAATTATTACTATTCAATTTTCAAAAAAATTTTAAATATCATATCCAACAACGATATTACATCAAAAATTTCGAAACAAAAGCATAAAAACTAATTAAAAAGAAAGCAAACCCTTGTCTATATATTGTTATTTTGCAATTTTAAAATTTAGTTCTACCTAACTCAATTTGAAAACCGTTTGTGTATTGGAAATAGTCATTAGAGAGATTACTATTTCCAGTATTCTACTATTTTTTTTAAAGGAATGTATTATCTCCATCTCGGTGGTTTGAGATAAATTGGGTTTGGGTTTGATTTTTATTTTGAATTTTAAGATAGATTTGAATTTATGTATTTTTTTTTTTTTTTTGTGTAGGTTTGATTTGAGTTTAAGGAGTTTTGATATCTATTGATTTGACGGGTAATAAATATAATAATAAAAATGTGTATTAAATTTAAATTTTTAAGATTAATAATGTTATAATTTGAGTATGAATTTATATTATATCTACATATATATTTTTATTTTCTTATTTATTTATATTATAAAAAATTTTATTTTCTACAAAATGACATACCTATTTTATATTTTATGAAAGAATAATTATTATAATTATCAAATAATTGCTTCATAATTTTGGCATATATGCAATTAAAATTTTAGAGTTTGTTTAGTTGCATTTTGGTGTTTGGTTCATTTTAGAATAATAAATTTTGAATAGTAATAATTATTTGATGTGATAGTTTAAATAAAAATATATATATTGTCTATAATATATTAAATGAATAGTAAATATATAATGTGATGTTTTGAGATATAAATAAATTAAATAATTGTAAATGAATATTGAAAACCAATGGAGGAAAACACAACCAAATATCTTGTTTTCCTTTTAAGAAAAAAAGAAAAAAAATTGGGTTTAACTCTTAATCATATTAGTTGTTCGGTCGAATGATTATCTCCAAAAGCACAGAGTAAATACCCGGAAAGTATCAATCTTTAGTGCAAGTAGCACTGTGCTTTTGAAATAAAAGTTGTATTCTATTTGTTTATTTTTTAAACTAGTGTTTCATTGATGCTCTACAAGAGTATGTATAGTGCTCTATAAAATATATATTGTGCTCTTATATAAATATATTTGGTGCTATGCGAACTTGAATAGGTTTTATCATAAAAATTGATCGATACTTTCTGAAAATTACGGTGCTATATGAAAAAATCAGCACCGTATTGATTTTTCTGAATCGGCACTGTAACAGCCGACTCACACTTGTTATATATTATATGATCATGTCCTTAATTTGGATCAATCAAACCACAATATTTAGAAAACATCCTCAGATAAACCTATATGTTATTTCCCAGTAGGTATGGATTTAGTCTTTTGCAACCATGTCTACATTTTTCATTACCAAAAAGGATAAAGGATTAAAAAATTAATGAAGTCAAACCCTAAAAACAATTGGTATGCCTTTATGCAATGACACCAACATCTCAACTTCATCCATTGACCAGCAAACCTCACTACTATTTAAAGAAGCTCATTATCCTCATTTCATCACACACAGATATTTCCTAATATTAACATTACAAAATCAAGACCATGGCAGTTCTAAAGCTTTCCATGGTTTGCTTTCTGCTCTTCATCTTGCATTCTAATGCACAGACACTGAGCCTTGATTTTTATTCCAAGACATGCCCGAGTTTGGCGAAGACAGTTAGCGACACGACAGCAAGGTTTATTTATGCAGCACCATCACTCGCACCGGCTTTGCTGAGATTGCATTTCCACGACTGTTTTGTTGACGTAAGAAACCTTAATGTCGATGAGTAGTTACTTCATCAATTGTCTTGTCTTTCATTGAGAAAAATGCATTTTTTGTTCCGTATATATTTTTATTATCATTTTTGTTATCCATGGCATTATTGTGGCTGGATAAATTACAGAAGTTTGCAATTAGGGTCTTATAAGCTCACATTATGATGTCTGAATAATCACGTAATGCAGCAACTTAAAAGACCAAAATGTAGTCATGCAAAATTACAAAATAAAACTAATATACATAAGACATCTGTAGTGAACAAAAGCTACAATTTTCTGTGTCTATTAGCTCATTATGTAGTAATATTTTGAGGTAAGAAGCATTTGCTAATTTTAAAAGATAGTACTACAAACCAATATCCATATTTGCATGTTAGAATATACACAAATTTATTGAATTAATTAAACCTCGATTCATTTCAATCTTGCACAGGGATGTGAAGGATCCATACTCCTGAACTCTACGAGCAATAACACCGCAGAGAAAGATGCGATCCCCAACCGGAGCCTCCGAGGGTTCCAAGTGATTGATGCTGTTAAATTGGAAGTCGAGAAGAAGTGCCCTGGACAAGTTTCCTGTGCTGATATTTTGGCTTTAGTTGCAAGAGATGCAGTTTCACAGGCAATCAGAAATTTTTAGTCATACATAAATTTACACATACACACGTATATTCTATTTTTTAGTTTTTCTTTGATTGAAGAAATGTTGAATAAGTTTAAAGTTGATAATTAATTTGGAGATATAAAACAAAGCACACTAAGCTCCTGTGCTCCATTGGTACTTTATATAAACAAAATTATAGGAGGCAAAATGATAGAATATGAACTTAGCTAAATATAGAACAAAGTTTATGATTTGTTTTATTTTTCTTCTTTTTTGTTTGCTTTAATGGTTTATTGAACTAATTTTTTGGTACATTTTTGTTATAGATTAAAGGGCCGTTTTGGAAAGTTCCATTGGGGCGAAGAGACAGTAGAGTGTCGATTGGAAGTCGAGCATTGACTAATCTCCCACCTCCCTTCTTCAACATTACACAGCTAATAGCATCCTTTGCATCGAAGGGTTTAAGTGTTAAGGATCTTGTTGTCTTGTCAGGTAATTAAAAATTAAGGGTGTGTTTCTTTTTAGTTTTTCATATAGTTTTTTACTATTTAAATTTTATATTTATCAAAAAAAAAAAAAAAAGAAAATCTATCAAAATATCATATTAAATATTTTTTAAAATCAAAACACAAACCTCAAAACCCCATTCTTGATGAAATAGAAACACACACTTAAACTTAAAACATTTTTCAAATCCAACATTGGGTAGAGCACATCGATAATACATTGTGTTTTAATTTAAATATATATAAAAAACTATTGTATAATATGGCCTTAAGACGAATTATTCAATAAAATATATGTAGAGTGCTCATGTAATATTTATAATAAATATATGCATCGAATACATTTCACCAAAAAAATTATACATGTACATACATAAATACAAATACAAACGTGCGTGCAATGTATATTTAGTTATTAAGTTACATCTAAGACATTAGAAACATATTCATATATATCATATTCTTTTCATTTATCTTTTTTACATTTTCAATACTCCTAATCTTTGTACATTTCAGGTGGTCACACCATTGGCGTGTCCCACTGCTCAAGCTTCACAACTCGCATATACAACTTCACCGGAAGGGGCGACGCCGACCCTACAATGGATCCTAACTATGTCACGGAGCTCAAGAAGGTATGTGGGCCAACCGACACGACCACCATTGTCCAGATGGATCCAGGCAGCTCTAAGGATTTCGACAATGACTATTTCAGTATTGTGAAGAAAAGAAGGGGCCTTTTCCAGTCAGACGCTGCACTTCTGAACAATGCAGAGACCAGCAAATACATTCAAAGTCATTCATTCAACCAGTTTGATAAGACTTTCTTCTCTGATTTTGCTGAATCAATGCAGAAAATGGGAAGCATTGGGGTGCTGACAGGAACTGCTGGAGAAATCAGGAGGGTTTGTTCTGTTGTGAACTGAAATAAGGATTAGGGTTTGTGGGATTTCTGTTATATTCTTTCGATCTGTGTGTTCAATTGAGTGCATTTATTTCTTCTGTGAGAGTGCATTGTTTTGGATTGTTTAAAGTCAATGTTTTCTTTTGGGATGATCTAAATGATTTGGATGTATTGAAATTCTTTCTTGTCGAATTGCAAGTGAATCAATTGTATACTTTTTCTTTTTTAACTTTGTTCTATTATATTGGATATTGATGTTTTTAAGAACAAAGTAATCTCTAGGAAGTAAATATTGAATATCATATTTTGAAATAAAAATGGATATATATATATATATATATTAAATAGTGTGTGTTACATGATCGTTTTTTAGAACAAAGTAATCTCTAGGAAGTAAATATTGAATATCATATTTTGAAATAAAAATGGATATATATATATATATTAAATAGTGTGTGTTAGATGATCGGAACGATCGTCTCACCTAAAAATTTAAATTATTAGGGACACATAATTATTTTTAACAATGAAAGTCTCCAACATGCCTCTCAAGTGCAAGGAGGTATGCAAGACTTGAACATAAATATATGACGGATGGGACGGTGGAATTCGAACTCGAGACTTAGGGCTCTGATGCCATGTTAGATGATCGAAATGATCGTCTGCTCGTATTGGGTATTGATCCTGTTTGAATTTTCAAAATTATCATCTCGATGAGAGAATGTTGAATTTCCCACATTGGAGGTAATATTGGGACTCCCCTACTTTATAAAGGGTGAAGGGCATCCACTTACAACCAATTGATTTTTAATTAGAACTCCGGATCCCCGTCTTAACATGGTATTAGAGTAATAGGTCTCGAGTTCAGAGTCCCATCGTCCCCATCAGGTATATTTGTTGGTAATTTTAGCGTAATTGGATTTATTTGAGACCAATGAATGTTGGGATTAAGTGAACTTCGGGATGAGATGCATGGAGTGCACACTCGAAGAAGCTAATTTCGACATGATTTTGACAAATAACACAAATTCTGGGATAGATTGTAGATACGGCCTTAGTCAATGGCATGACTAAGTCTGCCATGTACAAGTCTGGAAGTTCCGTAATTAAATTTACGGGACAAAATGTAATAGCTAACTTAGTCATGGGTATGACTAAGTGGTACGGGCTATTCTAGAATTTTCCTAGAATTTTAATTTTCAAAAATTGTGTTTATTTAGGAATTGATGTGTCTAATAATATTTAAATTATTAATTCAAATTTTTGTTTGAATTGAATCAATACATTATATTTAATTCAAATTAATATTTGAATTGAACGAACACACTCATATTATTTTGAAATTGAAATTGAAATTGAACCTTTGTGTTTGTTCAATTTAAATAAAATGTTACTTATGATCTTTAAATAGACGGGTTGGTCCCATTTGCAAACAATTATTGATATAATTAAAAACAAGAAAAACACATTCAGTGTTTTATCCATGCAAGAAATTATAGCCTCATACTCATTTTATTCATTACATTCACCTTGTCTCGATATTTTCTACCAGAATTCGAGATTGAACTTTGTATTATCCCAATACGAACTTTGTGTAACCCTTGGTAGGAATTGCGTCAAAATATCGTATTCGAAAAGTAAGCTCATCACGATATAGAGTTATATCTGGCCATTTTCGTTGTTAACCCAATAAAATCCCCAACAATCGAACATGATATTTTTGTGACGAACATAGCAAGTGAAACTCTGAGCAACATGTCGATCAAGTTTGGCAAGTTGACAAAGTTTGAAGGCGTCGATTTCCGTCGCTGGCAGAAGAAGATGCACTTTCTTCTCATAACTTTGAAGGTCGTGTATGTCCTGAGCACTCCATGCCCCGAGGAAACCAAAGATGAAACTTTGGAGGCAACACGTCACAAGAGCAAATGGGAGAATGATGACTACATTTGTCATGGTCATATTCTCAATGCAATGTTTGATCCACTTTTTGATACTTATCAAAATATGGATTCAGCCAAGGAACTTTGGGAGGCACTTGAACTTAAATACATGGCTGAAGACGCTTCGAGCAAGAAATTCTTGGTAAGTGACTTCAACAACTATAAGATGGTTGATTCGAGGCCTGTGATGGAGCAGTATAACGAGCTCCTTTGCATCCTTGGTCAATTCATGCAGCACGACTTGAAGATGGATGAATCCATTGTTGTTTTATGTATCATTGACAAGTTTCCGTCTGCATGGAAGGAATTTAAGCGAAAGGTTAAACACAAAAATGAAGAGTTGACACTTGTAGAACTACTCGGAAGCCATCTGTGCATAGAATAATCTATAAGAGCGCAGGAAAATGGTCAAGACAATGATATTATAGGACTATCTGTAAATATGGTTGATAAGCATAAAGAAAAGAATTTCATATTCTCGTAAGGAATGCAAGCTTTCTGAATTCAATAAAAGATCCATGAATAATTCAAAATTGGCTTGTTGGATTTGTGGAAATTCCAGTGACCTCAAACGTGATTGCCGAGTTGAAAAAGGGAATTACCGTGCAAAGGAATCGACTTATTTTAATAAGTCGAATGTCTTCTAATTACTGTAAATAATTAGTGGTTTATGTCTTCAGTGTCAAGATATTGTGTACATAGTTGATAATAATTACTGCAAGTAATTAGTATTTAATGTCTTAAATGATTAAGACATGTTTGTATATAAATAATATATGATCGACATTGCGTAGATTGTCTAGTGTATACTGTAAATTCAAGTATGTTAATGTTTAGTTACTTTACTTACGTTCAGTTCAAATGTTTGATTGATTTTATGGCTGAAGTTTGTGAAATATATGTTTCCAATGTATGAAATTGATGCAATTGAGATTATATGAATTGAAACATTTGGAATTTTATACAAAATAGTTTTCAGATAAGGTTATTCAGATTATTAGTAATCTGATTTTGATAACCTCATGAGTGAATTTGAAATGTATGTAAGAATTCTCCATAGATTGTTGTCGGTTACTAGATTAAGTGGCGATTACGAATACTGTCTTATATCAATAGTAGCGTTTGAAACGCCAACAATAGTGCAGGTTGTCTGGCAGCAACAATCTGCACGCCCATACTGCAGTTGGGGAAGTTCCTCAAATTGTGTGGGGGATAAATATTAAAATACTGTTAATTATGGTTTGTCATATTTTGGCTTTCCTTCGATTTTGGAAGGATACTCGAACGCGAGTTGGAGAAGCCATGCGGAAGAAGATCATTCTTCCACTACTTGATGGACGTTTTTGCTTGGGGGAGGTGCAATTTGTTGGACTTCAAAGAAGCAAACGTACATCACAAATTCTACGATGAAATCTGAATTTGTAGTATTAGCCGCGGCTGGAAAGGAAGCGGAATGGTTTCATAACCTGGTAATATGAGACATAGCATGGCCAAAACCGGTGGCACCCATCTCTATTCGTTGTGATAGTGCCTCAACAATGTCTAAAGCTTATAGTTAAATCTATAATGGTAAGTCTCGACACATAGGTGTGAGACATAGCATGATTCGCGATTTAATCATGAATGGGGTGATATCGGTCGAGTTTATTAGGTTGGAACATAATTTAGCCGATTGTTTGACAAAAAGGCTGGCGAGAGACTTAGTGCACAAGTCGTTGATTGGGATGGGATTGAAGTCCATTAAATCTTCCTAGTATGAGACACTCAATTCCCTTCTAGTATGACGTTAGAAACTGAATTCAATATGGAAAGCTCATATTGGGAAGATTGGAACGTATTTTATTTAGACATCACAGCTATGCGTTCAGACCTGCAAGAACCGTAGGTTGAGATCATATCTCTTAATAACTCCTTTAAAAAATTGCTTATGCAGAAGCGAGATTAAATGAGCTACCTATACGAGCATGAAGTTTTGCCGCTTCAAGAAGGTTCGGACTTGCTTTCGATGTGCTTGCGCATAGATATGGACACATGGCTTGAAAAGTGTCAAGTTAGAACCAAGGGAATTGTAAATTCGTGTGTACTCTACCTACATGTATTCAAATGAATTGAAAGGGTTCAATCCTTAGCGACACCTTGATTTCCAAATATTTGTAATGTGTATTGTACTAATGCAAAAATTCAATCTTCATGACATTCTCATTTATATATCGATTTATTGTGTATGCTTGTGATTTAATTTGTGAATAAATCAAGGATTACACTAAAATTGGGAGGACTGTTGGTAATTTTAGCGTAATTGGATTTATTCGAGACCAATGAATGTTAGGATTAAGTGAAATTGGGATGGGATGTGTGGAGTGCGGACTCGAATAAGCTAATTTCGACATGGTTTTGACAAGTAACACAAATTTGGGACATATTGTTGATACGGCCTTAGTCATGGGATGACTAAGTCTTCCGTCTACAAGTCTGGAAGTTCTGTAATTAAATTTATGGGACATAATGTAATAGCTAACTTAGTCATGGGCATGACTAAGTGGTACGGGCTATTCTGGAAATTTTCTAGAATTTTAATTTCAAAAATTGTGTTTATTTGGGAATTGATGTGTCTAATAATATTTAAATAATGAATTCAAATTTTTGTTTGAATTGAATCAATACATCAATTCATTTTGAATTTAAATTAATATTTGAATTGAAAGAACACAATCATTCATTTTGAAATTTAAATTTAAACTGAACATTTGTGTCTATTCAATTTAAATAAAAGGTTATTTATGATCTTTAAATAGATGGGTTGGTCTCATTTGCTAACAATTATTGATATATATAAAAATAAGAAAAACACATTCAATATTTATCCCTACTAGAAATTATAGTCTCATACTCATTTTATTCTCTACATTCACCTTGTCTCGATATTTTCTACCAAAATTCGAAATTGAACTTTGTATTATCCCAATACGAATTTTGTGTAACCCTTGGTAGGAATTGGGTCAAAATATTGTATTCGAAAAGTGAGCTCATCACGATACAGAGTTATATCCGGCTATTTTCATTGTTAAACCAATAAAATCCCAACAATATATCCATATGCAAGTCTCGCATACATTCCCTTGCACCCAAAATAAAAACAAAAGTAAATAGGGCTAAGTTTGCATATGTTTCTTTTCAAGATGCTTGTCCTTGTATAGCGGATTGTTCCAAACAAACAATATGAGCTGAATGAAAATAACAGGATGGTTTGTTAACAGGGGGAATTTACTTACCAAATAAACCTTCAAGTGGACGGAAATTCTCTTCTTAAATCCAACTCAAATTCTATCATGGTCACAAATACCACACACAAACCTGTATCTTCATGGTTGTTCGGATATGTTCATCACAACACAACTCATCAATGTCTCAACATCAAAATCATTGTGTCTAGCGTGTAATTTAATTTACAATTTGAAATTTCTAAAATAGATCTCTAATATCGTTCAATTCAACACCAAGTTCTAAACTCAAGAACAACTAAAAAAAACCGCTAAAGCCATGATCTTGAAGAATTCACTCATCTCACACTAAGTCTATCACTCAAAAATACTTGTATGATTCAACTCACCCTTTCTAATTCTATGATTTTTACTAAAACTAGTATTCCCATTTTGAAATCTAAGACTCGATAGAAATACATGAAACAATTGGTAACAAACCAGTAACCAGCTCAATTAATTACTCCAGACAATATTGAATGAATATTGTAACATCTCCACAACTTTCTCGTAAATTGTTCGTGAGGCGTAACAGCTTTAGTTTTGAATAAATATATTTTTCCTCCCGTCTTTGACTTTGATTTGTTTTTTGATCTTTTTTGAAAATAATAAAATAATCAAGTACGATGTGGGATACATCATACGAGAATAATATAAGTTTTCTAGCAAATTGGATCTTAAATACATATCGTTGCTCCATTTCAAGCAAAACCCCCAAATATCATCTTACCTTCATAATTGAGGTATTGCAAAGGCAATCACAAGTGTAATGGTGTGTTGTCTCCATTTTTATTTTTGATTTTTTTTTTAATGTTTTAAATTTAAATTGTGTTGAATTTAAATTTAGTGTTAAAAATAGTTTCAAATCTGCTACATGAAATTTTAAAGCCCAATGAATTCTAGCCTAACAAGATTGAGAAAGTTTGCAATTCACGTTTATCTCAACAAGTCATCTTGATCGCTTTTGTTACATATTATGGTACAGCAGGTGTTGGCCTAATACCCAATTTTGGTGTAATTCTTTGATGAGTTAAGTTCACAAAATCATCAAGGCGCTAACTTCATCTAATGTTCATTTCCGCTCGCTCACAACATAAATCCTTCAAACAAGTAGTGAACTCACAGGTCAATAAAGAATTTCATAAGACTTTATAGTTGTGTTGCTTGTGGATGTTACTATAGATTTTTACTATTCAGATTCTTTTTTCTCTCAAAAAATATTAAATTAAACAATTACTTTATATATAGATTATACTACAAATTTATTTTACATTCAACACATCACATCAATATTTATTTATATCACATCAAATAACTATTAAAATTCAACTTTTTACTGTTCAAAAATCCAAACCCACAAACAAACACACTCTATTTGTATTGAATGAATAAAATTTACCATATTCGTGATTTCCAAATAATATGTTGCTTTAATTAAGAATTTCTTTACAATCGAATCTTAATTATATTTGTCACTATACTTACAATTACTTCCTTATTTCAAATTCTTAATTATATGGTGGATTCATTCATTTCCATTATTTTTTATTCTTAAAATCGTAACTAAGAAAGTTTCCCCTAATCAATTGAGTTGAAATATCTATTAATAGTTCTAACCCTTTAGACATTATATATAGAGTTTTATCTCTAAAACTAAAAGTTTCCACTCTCAATCTCACTCTACCGATTGTCTTACTCTCGTCTTATTCACCGTTGTCTTTAATAGTGGTACTGCTTCGATACGCATTTAAGACATTCTATCTTTGAAAACAATATGGGCATATACTTGAGCACTACCAATCGTAACTCACTCTGCAGAAAGAAATCATCTTTGACTCAAATTTTTTTCATATTTGTTTCATTATCACCCCTCCATTTTCAACAGTACTGACATCATTTTGGAAAGAGGAGAATTCGCCCTTTTTAGTCTTAAATTCTGAACTATCTTCTATTTTGTTGTTCATTATCTTCTATTATAAATATCTTAAGTTTATATTTCTAATACAATAATCGATTGATGATTTAAACTTCATGGGTTTTTTTAGATTGATTTTTAATGGTTAATTTCTATTATGTTTGTTGGTGTTTGTAGAATTTTCATGCTTACAAACAATCTTTAAGAATATGTTATAAATTCAATACTTATGTATATTCGTTATTGGATCATAATTGGGTTATTCTAAATTTCAATACAATTGAGTTATTCGGCAGATGGATAGCTTCTGAAGACCACTAAAGCCTCATTTATTTGCTTGTATTGTTTGGCATCATTGTCATGTTGCAACATCGCAAGTTCAATACCAAAAAAAATCCAATAGAACTCATTATGCTAAAGTCCTTTAACATTTTTTTAACATATGTCTTTCGACAATTAAAATTACCTTGATCACTTTGCTTTACCTCAATGCCCAAATAATAAGGTATGAGATCCAAATCTATATTCTCAAACTCCTAGGTCATTTGCTTCTTGAAATCACTAAACATGTCTCGATCATTGGTTGTAAAAATCAAATTATCAACGCACAAACATACAAGCATGATTTCTCAGTTTCGATTTTTCAATACATATAATGCAAATTCATATGCCCATTTTATAAACCCATTTTTCTAAAAAATGTTCATCAATTTGGTTGTACCACATCCTTGGTATTTCTTTAAGCCTGTACAAAGTATTTTTTAATTGAAGCACTATATCTTCATAATTTTTCATGACATAACCTATGATTGATTAAAATAGACTTCTTCCTCTAAATAACCATTCAAATATACTGATTTCACATTCATTTGATAAATTCTCCAATTGTGTTGGGCCCTCAATGAAATGATTAATCAAATGGTATCTATTCTTGCAACGGAACTCAACACTTCATCATAATCTATTCCGGCTTGTTGAGTAAAGTCATGTGCCACAAATATTGTTTTGTATTTTCGACTTCTTCTTTGGCATTTTTATTCACCTTGAAAAACCACTTCAAGCTTATTGGTTGTTTATATTTTGAAAAGTTTGCCAACTGTCACATATTGTTTTTCACAATGGCTTTTATGTTCTCATCCACAGTTCTTCCATTTGTCATCTTGAATTGCTTGATCAAATGTGATCATCTCAAAATCTACATACAAACAAAATTGAGTTTCTACCTCTTCCATTTCTGTATGTTAATGAAGTTTCTTGTTCAACACAGTAAACCCGATGAAGTTGAAGGCGAATGTATTAGTAGTGGTGTATGTGAGGAGTTTGAGTCAAGTCTCTTGCAGCAACAACTTGTTCACCATCTTTCAACTTCAAATTGTATAAAACTGTAATTCTCTTTATTCGGCTCCCAAGTTAGCAACTTATCTCCTCAAACTCACTACAAAATATATTATATTTGTAACGGAATTTCATCCCTAAAGTTCACGTAGCTAATGTAATTTTATCCTTAATTTCGTCTCTAATGTCATTAGTAACGGAAAACGTGGATTTAGGAACCAAAAAACCTCGTTACAAAAGTGATATTTTCTTGTAGTGACTGCACATACCTGCCTACAACCAATTTGTTACTTAAATGATCATTAACTTGTATCCATTAAATATTTGATCATATCCAATTAATACAAACTTTTGATTTTTATCATCCAACTTGGTCTGACGCTCGTCAAGGACATGGATGCATGCCAAACACCCGAAAACTTTTAAGTGTGACACACTTAATTTTCATCCACTCTATGTTTTTTGCGGTTTTATCTAATCCAACTCTTTTGTTAGACTTCAATTACATAGATAGATAGCACACGCTACAACTCAACCTAAAATGCCTTTGGGTCAAGCCCTTGTATATTAAGTAATGAGCGGGTGCGTGTGTGTGTCTGCTAAATAAAGCAATAAAAAAGAAAAAAACTCAAAAATCCTTCAGCATTTGTTTGATTTTCATAGTACTCTTTGTCATGTTCATGATTATCCGATTTTTACGTTCCATAAATCCATTTTGTTGAGGTGAGTATAGAAAAGTCAATCCATGATCAATTCCAAGTTGCTAATAAAAAATTTTAAATGCATTCAAAATACACTCACCTTCTCAATCGGTACTCATCGACTTGATTCTTAAGCCCGTTTCGTTCTCTATTTGAGCCTTGATTTTCTTAACCACCTAAAATGCTTTTTTGATTTCTCTGTAAGGAAATACACTCATGTCTTGCGATAATAACCATCAATGAACAATAATAAATCTCTTCTTATCAATTGAAGCAAGTGTAATTAGAGCATAAATATGTGCATGCACCAACTAAATAGTTCGGGTTGCTCAATTACGAGGCTCCTTCGGAAAAACTATACAAAATTGCTTTCTAAACACATGTCCTTCACAGAACTAATTTGGGCAAGTCATTTTTTGGCATCCCCTAAGTAATTTTGTTCAACATGTTTAGGCCATTATAGTTCAAATACCCATGGTGTTGATGTCATAGCCATTAAGTGTTTGTAGCCGGCATCTTCAAGCATTTAGCATGATTAGCTTTGATGTTGAGCTTGAACATCATATACTGGCACCTTCATAATCAACCTTCCCAAAGAAATGAATATATTTTCTTTTCTCAAAATATTTGATAATCAAAGCAAACACATAATACACATTTGAAATCAACTCATAATCATCATTCTTTTGTAAAATGAGTATATTTTCTTTTCCCACAATGGACACTTTGAAATATTGCTAAAAGAAATGTTACCTTTAGCTGACTCATCAAGATACCATGCCTCCAAGTTTTCTTCCTTTTCTTCACTGCACGTCAGCAATATCATGGAATTATCTTCTTTGACCTCCATTTGATTTATAGTTTCATCTTTGTTTGGATCTAATTGACATTCATTTGCTTTTACACCTTGCAGGCTGGTAATTTTATTTGGAATCTGGGCTATATTATACTCATGAGTTCATGAAATGAAACAGAAAAACCACGATCCTTTTTAAATAAGATTGAGCAGCAGTTATATTCAACAATTCATATATGATCTTCAATCTCCCAGGACAAAGTTAAAACTCATGGGTCTGATAACCAACCCAAAAGTCCTGTATATGTGCAGATGATGCAATAATTACCTTAGCCCATGGCAAGGATGAAGATATCATTTGTTTCTGTAAAAGAAGAAAGCTGGAGCATATAAATGCACAGAGTTTATAAATATGACAGGTAAAGGATACAAAAAGGTAAGTGTGACTTCAATGAAATAAGTATATTTTTTTACCATTAGCATGATTGTGAACTTCAAAAGTTCTTTTGTATTTGATAATAATGATCCTTGCCCAGTACAAAGTGACGAATGGAATGAATCCCTGTCAGATTCCGGACAAGATTTCCTAAAGATGCTTAAACTTGTAATAATAATCAATCACCAAGAAACAAAAATTATATGCAAATAATACGAATTATAACCATGATCATGCAGAAATAACAAGAGACATCAAAGTTTGATAGTCTTATTTAATTTACACATAAACCCTAAACCTACAAAAATTGTGTCTGGCACTTTCTTGGCATACTCTGTCATCAAGTCATAAAATGAGTGACTTGTAAAGCCTATTAAACCAATACATAAATCAATACAATCAAATCATTTGACACGACACTCGCAATGAAATGAGGGAGTTGTAAAGCTTTTAAAAAACTAGTAAAGGATGTGTCTTTTAACAATGTTTTATACAGTATTTTTGATTTTCTAATGCCAAGGAGAAGACACGGCAGACTCTCCCCTATGGCACCTTGATTTAAAATCATTCGACCATTATCACCCAGTAAAAGAAACTTAGAAAGCTTTGTGAGTCCATTTCAGGCAAAGTCCAGATTAGCTAGAATTGCAATAACAAAAAAGAAAGGAATCCAAGTATATCCAGGTCAGGTGTAGTGCAAAATGAAATCTACCTGCAATAATAAGACTCTTCACATGCTCCTGGACATGTAACAACAGAAGGCAAATGGAAATTGTTCGAATATGACAACTTCAAGCTGCCATTCATTAATGACTGGATGGAGAAGGACTAGACCCCGCTCCATCAGATTATCCACGTCCATCAACTGCAGAAAGACCCAATTCTTGCAAACGCAGTTTCCTCCCAATATCAAGCTCTCTAGTCAGCCAATGAATTGGGAGCAACGGCTAGCTATACACCATTCATTCAATCTGCAACATTTGGAAAAGAGATTTAACAAATTAAATAAACAAACTCCGATAACAGCTCTTAGGTAAATATATTTCATGCATCTCACTACTTTCCTAAAATAATTGTGTACACCGGCAAGCCTCTGATCCTTCAAAACTAGCCATCTTTTTGCAATAAGTTTCCCACTAATAAACTATCAAAATCAAATCATCACCGGATTCTACTTCTGTCTTGTGTTTGATCATAATTGGAAATGGTAAAGGGAATTGAGCGACTCAATGAAATACCTTTCTTGACTCAAATTTCACCTAACTATTTGGCTTAGGGACAGCTGCATAAAAGACAACAATAAAAACAACAGTTGTTCTATAATAATTTAAAGCACTTTGTATAATTTAATTATGCTGCAGGGAATTTAAAGGACATACCCTATCGCTACTCTTTAGCTATTGTTACACAACAATGCCCCTTTCCCTTCTTCATCCACATCATACAAAGCAGAATCCGCATCTACTGTGAATCCCAACTCTATTAGCTTAATTTCCAACCACTTGAGCTTTTCGTAAATTTCATTTGAATGAGGATGAGACTTGTCACCCATTCGGAAAGCCTCAAGCTTCCCGTTGATCTCTATAACACTATATCCCGAGTCTTTGTTCAACCCTTTAGATTTCACCCTTTGTCTTACACGCTCCACACCATCCCACATCCGAGATGAGGCATAGAGATTCGAGAGCTGCACATAATGCCCTATGTCCAAAGCATCAATGGTGAAAAGCTTCTCTGCAGCATATTCACCAAGTTTCACATGGCGATGGATCTTGCATGCAGACAGGAGGGCTCCCCAAACCGAAACACCTGGCTCCATGGGCATGGTTGTAATAACTTCATGTGCCTTGTCCAAGTATCCGGCTCTGCCAAACAAATCAACAATACTTGCATAGTGTTTATGTTCGGGCTCGAGACCATAGTCTTTCATGGCGAGGAAAAACTCCCACCCCTCGTCCACAAGACCAGTATGGCTACAAGCCATGATGAGGCTGAGGAATGTGACTTTGTTAGGGCGGACACCAGAATTCTCCATTTCATTAAAAAGAGCAATCGCTTCTCTTCCCTGCCCGTGTAAGGCGTAACACATTATCATTGAGCTCCACAAAACTACGTCTCTTTCAATGCTTGAATCAAACACTTCTCTTGCCGATTCTACACTCCCACATTTTGCATACATATCAATCAACGATGTCCTAACCACAACATCATTTTCAAACTTACTACTATTAACATATCCTTCCATCCATCTTGCTTGCTCAAGTGAACCAAGGTGTGCACAAGCCACGACAACAGATTGTACTGTCACAACATTGGGTTCAATATTTCTCAAATTCATCTTAGTGAAAAGGTCCAACGCTTCTTTCGGACAACCATTCTTAGCAAATCCTGAGATCATGGCATTCCATAGAATCACACAGCCGGTTTCCGTTTGATCAAACAACACTTTTGCAGCTACTACCTGCCCACATTTTGCATACAAAGAAGTTAGCGCTATTCTCAAGTCGAGCTCAAATTCATACCCCATTTTAAGAACCATACCATGGATGCATTTCCCCTGACTCAAATCTTCCACATCCGAATACGCCTTCAAAGCACTAACCAAAGCTATCCAATCTGGTGTCACCCCTGACTCCCTCATATCCCTAAAAATCTGCAAACCCTTCATAGGCTGTCCACTCTGCACATAGGCCGAGAAAATCAATGTCCATGATACAATGTTCCTGTCACTCAAATGATTGAAAACATCACGGGCACAATCATGTTTCTCACATGATAAGTAAAACGATAACAGCCCGTTTAGCACGTAGGGGTCGTCTCCAAACCCGATCCTCCAAATCTGCCCATGAATGGCCCGGCCAAACCCGACCGCCTGTAGGATGCCACAAGCTTTAACAACAAGTGGGAATGTATATGCATCAGGTCTCACAAAAGCATTCTGCATTCTCAAGTACATTTCAAGAACTTTTTCAGGCATGTTGTGCATAGAGTATCCCCTGATAATTGCATTCCATAAGAACACATAGCGGTCAGGAAATTCATCGAACACTTGGCGTGCGTACCTAATTTCTCCAATGTCGGAGCTTTTATTGATAAATTTGGTGATTATGAATCCATTACTCTGCAACCCGTGCTTGAATAGCTTGTTATGGATTTGAGCGAGATGAATTCTGCGGGTGGATTCATCGAGAAGAGCTGTGTAATGGGACTCCGCTTTGAATTTGATTGAGCTGCGAGCGCTGAAGGTAACAACAAATATGCAATGGGATACGGAATTATTGAGGGGAGAGGCAAACTTGAATGCGCATCTTCGTAAAGAAAGGATTGACGACATATAGGAAGCCAAATCGTCGTCGGAATATTGTGGGATTCAATTCAACGAATGAGTGAAACATGGGAAGTGTCGATACGGTGACTAGAGATCATCAGTTCATCACTGATCGTTGTTTGCCTGTGATATACCTTTATATAATAATAATAATAATAATAATAATAATCATAGGTAATATTTAAAAAAATAGATCATAATTAAGAATATATATTTAAAATATGCTAAATTGATGGTGAGTTTGGTAATTAACTATTAACATCTTATTCAATTAATTAATTTGACTAAATAAAAATATTTATTTTTTATTATAAGTAGTTGTTTATATTAAAATATTTAATAAAATAATGATGTGATATTAACTATATATATCTACTATATATATATTTAAATATCTATTAATTTATATGATATAAAATTATAAATATTAATAAATTAATAAAATGATTTCAGTTTCTTTAAATTTGGGAAATTAAAATTATAATTTAAAATAATTACAAAACAAAATCATCATATACTTATTACTAGTATTATTTTTATGTTATGAAAGTCATATAATATACTTTTAAAAATATATATAAAATTATAAATATGAATAAATTAATAAAATGATTTCAGTTTCTTTAAATTTGAAAAATTAAAATTATAATTTAAAATGATTACAAAACAAAATCATCATATAGTTATTACTTGTATTATATGTTACGAAAGTGAATATATTTTTAAAAATATATATGTATATACATACAAAATATAATATTCTTTTCATTTTATAACAAATGATATATTTTTTATTTTAGTACGTCAGATAACAAAAGATCGCTCTTTTTATATTTGGTAACTTACTAATTTAAAATATATATAAATATTATGTTTGGATTTTGGATTGGGATTTGAATAGTAAAAATTTTGAATTTGAATAGTTGTATGATGTGATATAAATAGGTGTTGATGTGATGTTTTGAATGTAAAATTGATTTTTAGTATAATATAAAAAATAAAAAATAAGTGTTTGATTTGATTTTTTGAAAAAAAAAATTGGATGAATAATTAAATTTAAATCCAATCCTCCAACCAAACACACCCTAAATTAATTTAGTTTACTTTATTACCTATAAACTTATAAATAATGTAGAATTCACTCAAAATTATTTACTTATATATTTTTTAATAAATAAATAATTTTATCAATATTTAAAATTTTTCATCTTTTATAAAATTAAATTTTATTTTTTTTATCCATTTGTATTATATAAAATTTATTATTAAGATATTAATTTTAAAATATTTAAATATATTTTTAAATTTCTTTTAATCATATTTAGTAATTTTTATTTTAAAATTATTAACAATATCGCTTCCACAAGGAGTATAAGAAAAAGTAAGATGTAAGCACAAATAAGAAAACAATCAAAAAAAAATCCAATGAAAAATGCTAATATATACTATAATTATGTCAGTTTTTTTAGTTTTCTATTAAACTTATGCACAATCAATTTATATTAAATAATTTTATTCATTTACAATTTTATTACTTATATTTTAAGAAATAATAGTCAATTTGTCATCATTTTTGTACTTATCAAAATATTTTTTAATTAATTCTTTAATAATTTTATTTTTATAATATTCCAATTTTATTTTTCATCTAAACCACTATTATATGTTAATATCATTATTTTTTAATCCTCGTCCCCGACAAATTGGCATAATTAACCTGAAACATAACTAAAAAAAAAAAGTCCATTTCAATAAGTTCTTTTGATAATATAATTTACCAAATATTAAAACTATATCATTAGTCGGTCATTAAAAAAATTATTCAATAAACTAAATAAGTTATTTTTGAAATACCCATTGTCCCAAAACAATGGCAAAAAGTTAAACAAATACACGTGTCAAAATACATTTTGCAAAGAAAGAGAATCCAAACCCATAGAAGGAAGTAGAGGTGAGAACATAATTAGATTATACAACAAGTGTGGACAACAGAGAAATACACTACCAATTACACCAGTCTCTAAAAGGAAATGGAAATCATAAGGCAGTTTCTTTGAGTGAATTAAATTATTTACAAAAGCATTTAGAATAGATTTGATGAGTCTGTAAATTATATAAAATACCATATGAGATTAGGTTGTCTATATATAGAGGATCCTTTATTGTAATCAAAGTGACTTCCTTGTAATTCAATTATAGTATCAAAGCTATCCTTCATTTTCTCTCTATTCCTCTTCTTCCTTGCTCATCAGTTATTATCTTTCTTTTTTGATATGGTATCAGAGCAAAAAGCTTAATCCTCATGTCTGATTTTGGTTTAATAGCATGATTGGAAGTGGAAGCACATCTTCTACTGGACAAGTAAGCACTTATGCATTATGGTTGCAGTTCAATGATTTGATCATTGTTTGGTTTATTAAATCAATGTCTTTTCAACTTGCCTCCACTGTGTTTCACATGCAAAGTGCTCATGAAATTTGGAAGGTTTTAGAAACAAGATTTTCAATCCCTAATGATAGTAGGGTAGGTAAATTGTAGGGAGATTTATGTGGAGTTGTGTAGGATAGAAAATTTGTTGATGAATACTACACCAATCTTATGGTGATACGGGAAGAATTGAAGTTCTTCATACCACCCTCACACTACAAATGTGAAAAATATAATGATAGTTGTTCCATGACATATCAACGTCAACAAGAAAAATGATAAAGTCTTCAAGTTATTAAGTGGATTAAATAAATGATATGCTGGAATTTGATCACAACTTTTGAACCAAAGCCTTTTCCCTTATTAGATTAAGCATATAATGTTGTTTTGATAAAGGAATCACAGAAAAAATGGTACATACAAGTTAAAATCTTCGATCATCGGTGTTGTTGCTAACAAAAGGAATGCATAGGATGTTATATGCTTCATTGCGGGAAAAAGACACACTAAGGACAAATGTTACAGACTTGTGGGATTCCATAAGGACTTTAAGTTCACCAAATCGAAATGGAAGGAAACCTTTGCTCTAATATCTATCAATCAAGCAACTGGGAAGCCTCTTGGTGAAGAATCTCCAGTTTTATCACAAACTAACGTAAAGCTTCTACTGCAGCCGCTAAATAGGATTGATCAGAGCTAAGGCAAAGAGGGTACATCATAGCGCCCCCTCCCACCAACCTACCAACCCAAGCACTCTCCAACTTTGCAGGTAACATTTTTAGTTACACTGCAAATCACACACACCTTTCCAGCCTATCTAGTTATTGGATTGTGGATTCAAGAGCCACTTGCCACATTTATGGGGATTCAGCCTTATTCTCATCCATGAGTCCCTTAAATAACATGACAGCAGATCTTCCAAACAAATCCAAGGCCGGGACAATGCCTATATCTATCAAGTTCATCTTAAAAAATATCTTTTATGTTCCATCATTTAATTGTAACCTTTTGTCTATTAGTGCGATCATAGAACAGACTGATATCAAGCTAAAATTCACTTCTCTTGAGTGTAAATTCCAGGTCCAACCATCTTGGATGAGGATTGGTCCAGCTAGACAGCTAGTTGGGTTGTATCTTTTTCCCAACAACTCACCTAACACCATCATTTGTGGTCACTCTTTCTCACATCCTTTGTCTTTGATCTATGGCACTACAGACTTAGTCATGCTCCTCGTCGAGTCATCCTTAATATCAAAAGTCCTAAAGTTCAGACTTCTCTACTAGAAGTATGTGACATTTGTCACAAAATAAACAATAGAGAGTCAAATTTTCCCGGCATCTGGTTTCTTCTCATATTTTCTTTCAACTTGTTCATGTTGATATTTAGGGATAGTATTCTAACCTTACACTTAGGGTGTGTTCGGTTTGCAAACTGAGCGAATTTCACTATATAAGTATTGTTTAGCCAAAGCAATGTGAAATCCCTAGTCTAACACCTATATCTCCTACACACTCTCATCATCCTCTTTTTGCAAATTTTGTGAGCGACGCAGGGATATCACTGAACATAGGTTTCCACAATAATATAATATAATAATATAAAATAATATTAAAATTCATGTTAATAATAATACAAAAAAGAATTACTATTGGTAAATCAAAGATAACCCTAATTTTTTTATATTTCTAAAATCAAATTTTTTATTTTATCCGTATCAATCAAATCAAACTTTACTTTATTATCAAAATTATTTTATTACTATTAAATTTCAAATAATTCAAACCATCACATCAATATATTGATTTATCAATAAAATAGTAATTTATTCTAACATATAATTACAAAATTCAAACTTTCAAACAATCACAACTTAAAAAATTATTACTTTATAATCCAAAAATATTCAAATCCAAAATCTAAACCCTAAACAAACACACCCTTACAAGGCATATATATTTTCTCAGAATAGTAGATGATTGTACTAGAACTGTTGGATTATACTGTAAAGCAAACTTTTAGTACGCTTTTGTATCATTCAATTTCCTTATTAACTGGAATAAATAAATTGTTATTTCACATTGTGTTGCTTTTATTTATGTTTTATATATATTAGCATGTCCACTTATTTAATATTGTAGACAACATGGTGTGTGGAGATCACACAGAAGATCTTGTTGTCAGTTCTTTATTAAATATAAATGGGTTTCACAACTGAGATGGTTATGGACAAAACCATCGGTTTAAGTTGTAGTGTAAACTTGGAATTAGTTTGTCTTGACTATTAGTTTACACTAATGTGCTGCGTCACATTGAAAGGATCACAGTTGAGATATGTTCTTCTATTCTGACATTGAAGAACCAAGATCTCGGTAACTCTGTTAATTCTTAACCTTAGATGAAATAAATTAAATATATGGAATAAATGTTCGTTGCTTTAATTTACCATAAGTGAGAATCCTTAGTGATTCAATATGCTTCGTATTTTGGGCAACTACATTATTCGCATAGTAATTAATTTATTATCATTAAGGCACCATGTCCTGGACATCCAGGTTGATGACATCCCCTTAAGGAACTCAATAAGGATTATTGTATAAACCCTGCAGGTGGATTTAATCCGTACAATAATAAGTTTTGAGTGGTATTACTTAAGGAATTAAAAGATAT